GCAAATAAGTAATTTACATGTAATGCAAGAAAAATGTATTCTTATGTATTTGTGCGTTAAAATAAAACTTTAATTTTTTATTTTCAGGTGCTTGGAAAAGTGACTGCCTATAATAATAAAGCAGCTCTTTATGAAATATATGAATCTCTGCTGCCAATATTCCTAAGCGCATCAGTGTCGACTTCTTTGAGAATATTAGCTTTTGATCAATTACTGTTAACAGATCAAAAAGACTTTGAGAATCATATTATTACCATTTTGAAGAAAAATGAAAATCAGCAACTAAAAGCGTATATTGCACAGAAATTAAGCTCACTTCTCAAAGATGCAGATTTTAAAAAAGATAAACAAGAGTAAGTTCTAATGATTTTCCATATAAAAATGTATTTTATGACCGCAAAAAGGATTTGTTTTTCTTACTGATTATCACATTATTCGTTGTTTCTTATTTTGTTTTTTTCCGGAGAGAAAACTAAATGTTTCTTGCTGATTTCATTATAGCTGATAGTTGAAATCAGGCGAGGTTACCAATGCTTCAACGTGGGGTCAACAGGTGCCGCCCTTCGAATGAAAATTTTTTCTGTGATTTAAACTCTTTTTCGATGTACAGGTCTTCTACAGCGTCATTGCTAGAGTAGACTTGTGGCAACGAATTGCTCGTACATGTGCGACTCTTCCGTTTTTTTTTTTTTTTTTTTTTTTTTTTTTCCGTTATTTTTATGATTACTTAAATGTACTCAAAGCTCTTGAATGTAGTGTGTAAAAGATTTTGCAAAATGAAAGCTAATGACTTAGTGCATTTTATACGTTCAAAAGACCTGAGGTAAAAGGGTAGAAGGTGGAAAAACTGTAGGCGTAATGGAATTTTCCTTCTTCAGGGATGACAAAAATCTGTGTCCTTGTTTGCTACCATATTCATTATTTCTATGATGTTTCTTCTGTGTTTTTTTGCTTTTTATGAAGAAGGCTTTATGTATTTTGGTGTTATTTGAGATTGATGACGAATGCGGTAACCTTTTGTCATTGGGCATTTGAATAAATAGTGCAGAAAGTCCATTTCGACGCAGATGTAGGTATCTGTTGATGAAATACTTTTGGAGTAAATGAACTATGACATGATAGAATGGATCAGAAGTCAAGATATAAGACCTAGCCTCTTTAGGTCACATAAACTAATCTAGATCTTACAATGAATCTGGCGAATTCTCACTCATGGGCCTGAAGAAAATACTAGCACAAAAGAAGGGTGAAATATAACCCTTTAATTAATTCAAATTATCGAACAGAAAGGCACGTCCTTTGGGCTGTACAATAACACCGACTACTTGAGGTGGAACTTAAACGTTATTGCACAATCAAATTCAAGTCTAAATAGAATAGTACTGGATTAGCACGTTAAAGTATGGCTAACTTAGGTTGACTCAACAAAACCTAACAGGCGTGACAATTATCCGAAATAACCGAGAGGCGTACTAGCGTAACAGCAATGTCAGGAACGAAACGCGCTCTCGTTAGCGAAAACACACTCTGACTAAACTCAGAGATTCACCCGTTTAAATACACACTTCACTTAACTTTAAATTTACATCCTCGCAAGGTAATGCGAGGGGAAAATGGGAGATTCAGGAAAGGTATCAAACTTAAAATAATTTGTTATGCAAAATGAGGGAAACCCTACACAAAAATATAGGGATATCAGCAAGAAGTAGAATATGACCATGGCCTCACCAAATTCTGAGAATTATTTTTAAAGAAGCTATAAATCTATTGGTATCAAAATTTAGAGATATACTGAAAATTGTGATTTTTTAAAAATTTTTCCTCTTAAATGCCTCGAGAAATGTCATATTTTAAGGTTATTCTTTTAGCTTTCGAATCATTCACTCCAGTTAGGATTCCAGTGAAAACATTCGTTAGCATATTTATTATTCGTTGCAAGTTACATGAAAAAAATTCGGTAACAAATTTATTATTCATTACGAGTTACACTGCTGGGAAATTAATCGCCTATATTACAGTGTGATACTTATGAAAGCTTTCCTGAACTTAACAAATTAAAATGAAACGGGGTATTAAAGAAACTCAAATAAGGATAAATATTATTGCCATGTAACATTTATAGTGTTTTAATCTTTTTCATTGGATACCAAAAGAAAATTTCGTGAACGGTCCAGAAGAAGTTGACGTTGAAATGCTAAGAAACATGTGATTCTGCTTTATCATTGTTATTATGTGTACAAAGTTGTTCATGTATCCCTTCAAAATTTGAAAATTCATAGCAAATAAATTACGCAACTGATATAAACTTTTATTACTCTGAAGTAGATAGAAACTCATCAAGTTTTCTTTTACATATTTCACAAATTTTTATTACGCCCACGTTTGCTAATACGGCGGGTATTTCTATACTAGCCTCTTTCCCACCACACGCCTGCCAGCATTATAGGAGCACCTAATGAGCAGAGCACACACATAGCACAGCACGGTCGAGCATGTCTCACTGTCCACCGAATTATCGAGTTGTGGAAATCAAGGTTTTATCAATATAATTAGTGCTGTCGAGAGAAAGAAATTTAGAGGAGCTGATGACAAGAAGATATTGTAGAAGTTTTCGTAGCAATTCCAATTAGTGGGACTTTTATTCACACAAAGGGAATAATAAAAAGATAATCCAAAAGAAATATTTCAAAACGTTCAATAATATTATTCGCATGGTCAGAGACGACCTGCAGTAGAACAGTATTTTCGCATCCTCGACAAAATAAAGTGCACACGAACTATATGTTGAGGTTTCCGTTATTTTTTGAAAACCAACCACCTTCCCCATTTTCTTAGCTGGTCTTGTATTAAAATTTACGCTGATTATAGTTGGCTTGGCTGTGAGGAACTGTTCCCTGAAGTATGTTCAATGTATTTGCGAGCTTGCTGGTTCATGCATAGCATAATGATTCTGCTGCTCCAATTTCAGTGGAATTTGTTTCATCAAGATTTAAGCGTTTACAGTTTTCTTTTTAGTCCAAATAAGGGCCTTTGTCTCTGAAGGACTATTGTTTTTGTTTTTCGATTTTGCTTTAGTTCTATATAAAAGTCCATTTCCCTTTTCAAACTGTTGCCACCAAATATTATCGTGCTGTGATATATTTGAAGAAAGTAAATAATGAAGAATGTATGTTTCTCGCATTGTGATAAAACAACGGTACCTATAGAAGCCATAAAATTTTGAATGAATCCTACTGCATTTTGATGTAATCCTACTATTTGATATAATCCTACTGCAAATATGGGCATGTGGAAGCCCAAATTTGAAATTTGGAATTTGGTTTATAATTGATTTCATATTAACAAGCTCAAGGATTTCAAAGCGAGCCATGACAACGTTGTACAGAAAAAACATTTTTATCTCCAGTGCGTGAGACGGCGTATCGGAAATTCTAAAGATATGGTCAATTTAAAACTATTTTGCGATATTGCTCTTGAAATGAATTTTATGGTTTAAGTGCAAAGAACGCGAATTTAATAAATAAAGGTAACAGACAAGTGTTTAAAAAATGCCCCTTTGGACGTAATTTAAAATCTGAAACCCAAATTTTTTTCATTATTATTATTTTTTATTTTTATCTAATTTTTTGTTGTCCAGTTTAATGTTTGTGCTTACAGTTTTTTTTTGTTTAATTGTTGTAACTATTTCAAAATGCTTTTAACCTAGATTGTCTTCGAAACTATTGTAAACAGTACCTTTAGTATTTACATGCTTACCTGGTTCATTAAAGAGAAAATAAAAACATTTAAAATATTCGCAATATTAATATATATATCATGCATAGAATCTATTAGAAACTTATTTAAAAGCATACTCTTTCTAATACTCGTATTTTTGTTTCAATAGGCTATTCGCTAGTGCAGAGGTTCTTAAGCGGGGAGGGGGATACCATAGTTTCAGAAAGAAAGGTGTTCAGCCTTTTATTTAGCTCTTCAATATTTAATTTTAGTTTATGAATATAAAATTTACTTTTATTCAAGCTTTAATATTTATCAATATTTGCTACACTTTTTGTTATTTAATTTACGAAACACGTTAAAAATAATATAAATTTAAATAAATGCACTGTGTTTTTTGACTGCTTGAAAGGTAAGGCCGTGGTGAAAGCGCTGCATGCCGTAAAACAGATTGACAACCATTGCGCTCGTATCCGCGACATCTTCAAGATCAGCGAGAAGCCTTCTGACTTACTGATGTTATGAAAATCTGCTCAAGCTTCGGGGAAAAAAAAAAAAAAAAAAAGCATGAATTTTATGCTTCCAATAAAAAAAAATTCTGTTCTTTGTTCAGAACAGCCTTTACTTTAAAATGCAAAAATAATAATTTAAAATTTAAAATGCAAACGCTGTCATTTCAATACTGTATTTCGTTGCATATTCCCCTCCTTACTTTACACAGACAGTTTTCTACAATTTAAAAAATCTTCGCGTGATATTCCGCATGCTCAATGTGTTTAAAGAAAGAACTTCACTAAATTTTGAAATGCTTTCGTTTATGTAATCATTGTTTTCGTCTTGCTAACATAGAAAACCCTCGAATACTACCAGCAAAGGTCACGCTGAACCTTTCCTTTCTTAAGTTATGCCAGCCTATTACAAGAACCTACTCATCTCAGAGAAACGCGCGAACTGGCATTCAGTCTACGATTTAGCTGAGACTGCTGCAGATTCAACTTTTCTTATTATTTATAGATGATTTGAGGCTTAAGGAGTAGCACAGATATCAACAGGAACGAGTAAGATTCAAGTTACAGGGAAATAGAAATGAATGTACCTTATTAGATACAGTAATATTAATATTAGTACTTATTCTTTTTTGTTTTAAAGGAATAATATGGTGATAGTTAACCGTAGTTTACTCATTACTTGCTTTAACCACGTTTTTCGGAAATTAAATTATTTCCATAATATTTTCCCTTTCAACTTCAGTGATAAATATAGTAAAAGAGAGGGGAAATTATGCCAGAAAATACTGTATACCATTTTTTTTCCTTTTAAATACTGCTATAAAAAATTAATTTGAAATTAATCTTTTACAAACTTTCATTATAATAATCATTTTAGGTTTATCACGTCATTTTCCAAGCTATTGAAAGAAAATGAGATCTCACTGGATATCTTAGCTCATCAGCCTGAAGTTGAATCAAAATCGGCATTTTCTGGAATGTTCGCATATTTGCCTTATTTACCGGATCATTTAAAAGATTTCATTCTGAAATCTGTTTTGTCAAGTGTATACGAAGTAAATGGTGTGTTCCCGCAGTACTACCACTCGGAGACAGTCCTTAAAGCATTTAACAATTTGATTCACATTTTTGAAGCGGGAGGTTATTTTGAAGGTGAGTAATGTACATATTTCTTAAACTCATTTACCCATTAGCAATGTTTAATAACATCAATGATAGTTATTTGAATACAGTACATAGCATATCGAAATGAGTTTAAGGCAATGGTTTTTGTCCTTAAAAGACTGTTCTGAAAATATTATCTGTGTTAAAAGCACAATCTAAGAAAATTTATTGAAATAGCTAAGTAATTATATCTTACATAATCAATCCTTGCCATAACGAACCCTGGGTTATAGCGAACGAATATTTCGGTTCGGTCTAGTTTTGCCACATCTGTGAGGAGTGATTAAGACCACTGAATACTGGTAGCTCGACCTGGACGCCTATTCTATGATCACTGGATCTGTCTACAACTTGAGCGAACAATATTGACTCAAAAGAACCGGTATGGACAGCCATCCCAACTTATCGGAGAAAGCCATTCTGTGGTCCTCAGTTGGAGGGCGGGTGGGTCCATTTAATTTACTGGAAGGGGACAAGGCTTCAAGGAGCTTTAGACCAATCGCAGTACAGACGAGTGACGAAATTTATAGCGCGCGCTGGCTGAATTTCTAGGAATATTCTTCCATTATTTCACTAACTCACACGCTGCATTTGTAGTTCGAAAAAAAAATTGCATAAAACAGTATTATGACCAACACGCAGTAGAATATGCTGCTGTGTTATGTGAAAGAAATCTCGTTTTTAATGGGAAAGTTAACGCAGGAATTTAGAGCTAAGAAATAAAGAGTGATGGGATACCACGAAAGCAATGGTAAATAGATAAGAGTAAATGAATTAAGCTTACTTCAAATCCTTTTAGAAATAAACAATTTTAATTAGTTAAATTTATAATATGATTAATATACATTACAATCTAATAGCAAACTAAGTTTTTTTTTTTTTCTTCTTCTTTTTTTTTTCCATGTTTACATTAAAACTGTTTTCCCGCAATTTATTTTACAGTTACTATTCGAAAAATATTTCTTTAAATAAGAAATTAGAAAGAAAATATTTCTTTCTTAATATTTCTTCCCCTTTTTTATTTTATTTTTCTATGAAATTATTTCTTTCAGGAAAAAAATAAAATTCATTCGCTATACAGTATGGCCGATTGCTCCTGCATTCAATTATCACACACGCATCAAAATGCTTATTTTAAATAATTTATTATATAATAACATGAAAGAAAATATTTTTTCAATATAAATACATAACCAAAATTAAACTAATCTATCCTGTATGTGTGATTAATTCGTTTGCAATTTTTGTCACACAATTACTAATACCTTTTTCTCAATATTACATGCTGTTATTTTAATTTTGTATATATATAAGAAACTGCCTCAGTTTAAATATTCTTCCTTCTCAAAGATTTTGTTCTGTGAAAATAATTAAAAGATAGTAATATTTTCACAATGGAAGTACTAAAGTAAAAATAATCAATGTAGGTCTCCTGCAGTTCAAGTCCTTATCAAAACAGCGTTTCGACACATTTTAAATAGAAAACTAATAATAATCAATATCTCTTTTACAATATAAAAATGAGAATGCTATGAACAGTATTTTTATTATTTATCTATTAATTTTTTTAAGCTTGCAAAGAAACAATGATTTTTTAATACTATAATAGGTTACAAAAGTACTATTCCATGAACAAACCCTCACTCTTATAGCATTGTTACTTTATAGCATAATACAATAATAATACAGTATAATTAGCCCACCAGCCGCCGAGTGGTAGAGTCGCTGAACGCAGGTAGTTTGGTCCGAGATCCGAATCCCGCGAACGAGTTGGCCGGCGTTTTCGTGGCTTTCCCCATGTGTAACGTGTATACGAGCCAATTTCCCTTAGAAAGTCCTCACTTAGAAACCAGTTTTAAAACGTATTAAAATTACACACACACACATACACACCAAAAGAAAAAAAAAAAAAAAATCTGAAAGCCTTCAGATTTTATATTACTCCCAAAGGGCCGTTTTATTAACGTTTTGCGTGTTACCTTTATTTATTAAATATCATGTTTTTCGCACTTAAACCATAAAATTCAATTTAACAGCAATATCATATAATTAAAAAAAAGCATATCTTTAGAATTTCCGATACATAGTCTCGCGCGCTAGAGATGAAAATGTTTTTTGCCATTGCTCGCTTTGAAATCGTTGGGTTTCTTAATCAAAAACCCATAAATGCTTTACAAAATATGATATATGAAATGGATAGTAATACAAATTCCCAGTTCCAAATTTGGGCCTCCGGATGCCTATATTAGGATGGAGGATTACGTTATTCGGAATTTCATGGCTCTAGGTACCGTTGTTTTATCACAGTGCGAGAAACATTCATACATTCTGCAGATTCCTCATTATTTAATTTCTTTAAATATAATAGAGTGCGATAATACTTGGTGGCAACGATTTGAAAAGTGAAACGCCATTTATCGTGAAACGCCACAAAATGGCAAAACGAAATTAATAGCCCCTCTGGGCTAAAACTTATTTTTAAAAGTATCACACTAATAGTAGTACAACTACTGAAAAAAATATTATAAATTTATTTTATAGTTTTATAATTATTATTATTTTTTTTTTATTTTTATTTTTTTAAAGTAATTAATTTAATTATTTTACAGTAGTTTGAATTTCGCGTAATAATGAACGACATTTTTGTGTTCACAGTATTATTCGTAAGGTATTTAACTGTTAGATTTTAAAGTAAACGTAATTCTTGCTGCACATAAATCGAGTAGAAGCTTATCGGATGTCTATATTTGTATTAAATGAAGAAGGTTTATGTGCTTGATAAACATTTTTACATTTTTAAATCTACATTTTTAAAGCGTACAATTACAATTTGTATCTATAATTTCAGGAATAGTATAACCTTTCTTTTAGTAGAAATTGCGTTCTTGTTTTCTGAATGTGGCTCCAAATACTCTCTCAGTTCATCCCAAATTAAAATAACTATAAATTTTGGCAATCTGAAATACGCAATGAAAACATCTTTTGGCAGAGTAAAAGCATCAACATATTTTCTATAAATTCGCCACCGATTCAGAGATCTACGACCGTATTCTTCGTTTAAATATGAAAAAATCAGCGGCGAAAATACATATAAAGCCATTGTCTACTTAGTACGTCAACTGGACAACCCTGATTGACGACGCGGCAACATTTTTCACGCGCTTTCGACAACTTCCGTACTCAGAGAATATAGGATGTCGGGCAGACCTGTTTTTTACTAGCAGCGACATCTGGCGGCCCACAACTTGCTGTAGACTCTCATAGCGTAGAATAACCGTCCTGGTTTGGCTTCAGTCTCAGACAAACGGGCTGGCTGTATGATTTGTTTTCGTGATTTCCTCCCATGTAAAATGGGAATACTAAACAATTTCCCTCAGAAAGTCCTCCACGAAAGCATACCTTATCTTAAGTAGATAGCCCTCGTGGTTTTCCCATATTCAAATAGCCTAGTCTATTATAATTCTCCCAATTTCCTATACACTTAATGTTATTTTACATTGCTGTAACGAACTTCTAAAGGTATAATTCGGATGTAATGATCTACATGGATATTTTCGTTTGAAATTTTTATGTATTTTTGATATTTTCCTCAGAATTTATGTACATTTTAATTGAAAAAAAACTACTAAACCTTAAAATAGTCCACGTTTAGGATGTTAGATCCTAACATCCTAAACGTGGACTATTTTAAGGTTTAGTAGTTTTTTTCTATTTATGTTTCACAATCCATTCAGGAAACACATTTGCATTGCTTTTCTTTTGTGTTCAATGTAACTTTTCTCTGCGTTAAAAGCAAATACTCTGCGAAATAGGTGTGACATCCAATATAAGAGAAAGAAGACACAATAAGTAAATATTAGGACACTAAAATTGTATTCTTTGTATATGGCGTATTGAGCATTAAATCAAAAAAAGTGGATTGATTCTTTAACAGAAAATTCTTTAACTGAGTTCTCAGAAATAGCTCTATTCAGGGCTGACATTACGATGGATATTTTAAAATTTTCGCTGTTCGCGAGAGGAAGTGGTGATCCTTACGAACGTAGGATTCGGTTGAGTATAAATACTGTCCAAGTTCTGTCCTCTGATTCTCCGAATGGCGATTTGCGTTCTTTTAGTCTTTTTAGAGACATGGGATATTCTGTAACAGTTACTGAACCATGCCTTTGTAATCTTATGTAAAACTTATTGAGCATTTTCTGTTTTATTTTTCATACAAATCTACAAACACGGTTTTTAATTTTGGTGAATTAAATATTAATTTCAGCATTTAATTATGTTTTTTTATAAAGTATTTCTAACACACAGTATAAAGTTCAAATATATGGGATCGTTTTATAAATAAGTCCATTTTCTCAGTGTAAAAAAATCCTTAAAAGGTACTTGGTCGAATTATTTATTCAAGTTAAAAATGAAGCCATTTTAATTAAATTCTAAAGAACTAAATGTAAATTTTCTGAAAAATCGGGCAAAAATTCTCGCTTTATTACACAAAGGAATTTATTTCATGTTTTAAACTATGTGCAAAATGCCCTATATATGTTCATTTATGTAAAGAGAAGGTAGTATTTCAAAATTTCAAAATTATAATTTGTTAAATATGCACTCGTACTCAAACAATAAGCTACAAACGCTAAAAGAAAAGGTAAGAATGTAAAAAGAGGGAATTCAAACATAAAATTTACATATCAAGTAGAGGTTGGATCTCCGAATTCAAATAAGCAAACAAAATAAGCATAAAACGCAATCCCAGAGTCACACCACAACGCTTTAAAAAGCGGGATGCCGGATTTATGTGACAGTTCGCAAGCAGCGATAATCCGAGGGAGCCAAAGCAAAAAGCATGAATCGAATACACTGTATGGAACATGAAATGCGTCGGAGGGCTGTCGGGATGCTGCAAGCTGGTGCAAGACAATCTGCTACTACAACAAACCTGAATACCTGAATTTGCATCGCACTCTCATCAGTAGGCTCTGGAATTATTACCACAGGGATCAAAACCTCTGTAGAAGACGTGGGTCTAGACGCCAAAGGATTACCGAAATGGCAGACGATCACTTCCTGTTGCTACATGTAAGACACCGCAGATGACTAACAGCACGAGAGCTGGTTTCATAGCTCTCTGCTGCTGGAGGACGGATCATATCCGTCCAAACTGTGTCGCGTCGACTTCATGAAGGTGTACATACATCCGACGACCTGTAGTTTGTGTGTCCCCACCGCATGTCAGAAAGCGGTCGAATTGAACATCGCAGTTGGACACTGAAGCAGTGGAACCACGTACTCTTTACAGATGAGTCTCGATTTAACATACAGAACGATTTCGGAAAAGCAATGATATGGAAAGAGCCAAGGACACATTATCGGTGGCCAAGCATCGTCGAAAGAGACGGTTACAGGAAAAGAGGCTTACATGAATGCGCTGGTATAGCACGATTGGCCGCATAGATCTTTATGTGATTCCTGGTGGTACCGTCACAGCCATCCGATACTGTGACGAAAATATGCATCCTCTTGGAAGTCCTTTTATCGCCTCAATGGGTACCGACAAGATGTTTATGGATGATAACGCCCGCACGCATAGAGTTCGAGTTGTGTGGATTTATCTGGAGAAAGAAATCATTGCATGTCTGCCGTCGCCTGCTACATTACCGGACCTGAATTCCATAACAGCATGTGTGGGACATATAGAGGCGACGGATAGCAGGTCACAGCGCGCCCCCAGGCACTCTCTAAGAGCCCCGACAAGCATTACGACTCAAATGATGGCTACTGCCGCAACAGGCGATCAACGACACAATTGCCATCTTGCTTTTGCCATCAACATTAGACACAATTGTCATCAGCATTTAGCTCTTCAACTTGTGTACCGCCTCTGAATATGGTCCCGATTTTAATACTGAATATCTGGGTCAATTTTTGTCGCACGGAAGTCAAACCTTTTATATTTTGTTTTTTACAGCGAGGCAAAAAGAATTCCTAAACGTAAGTATAAGTACCAGAAAAAGGTGTAAAATGCTAAATTTCGCATTTTGTACAAAATTGAACATTTTTTAAATACGAAAACAGGAGAAAGATGTAAAATGTTAAATTTCGCCTTTTGTACAAAATTAAAATTTTTTTAATACGAAAACATGAGAAAGATGAGTACCAGAGAAAGGTTCAAAATGTTAAATTTTGCATATTGTACAAAATTATACTTTTTTTAATACGGAAACACAATAAAGATGAGTACCAGAGAAAGGTGTAAAATGTTAAATTTTGCATTTTGTACAAAATTAAACTTTTTTAATATGAAAATATGAGTTCTTGCGTCATTTTAAACATTTTTGTAAATAGAAGTATATGTCTACGTCCAACTGTTGCAAAAGTAAATTCCGAATAAGGACTTTTGTGGAGATTTTATACATCCCTTATGTAAAAGAAAATAGTGGTCCAAAATTTCACTATTAAAAATCTTTTAAATGTATTTTAATCGCTGAACCTTTTATGCCGATCATTCGATCACAAGATATTTTATTAACAAAATGTAACAATAACAATGTATGTGAGCAAATAAGACTTTTATTTCACGCATAAGCATACGTATATGGAGCCTGTCCCTTTGGTCCCCCAACAGACAGTCTTGATACTGTGAAATTTTATGCGTACTCCAGATTATTCTTTCTTTAAATAATTATTTTTACTTATCTGCTATAATCCAGTTTTCCAATCAATGAGAAATAATGGCGTGACTTATCTAAAAAATTCTGTGATGAAGCTATCGGCCATATCTAAAATTTCTACATGAAGTGGATCAGGGGTATTTATATCTAACATAAACACTCAGTCTAGTTTTAAAGGGAAATATGAAAAGCAAATTTATCTAATCTATAATCTAACATCTCATCAGCAGCATTCCATCTATATCAAAACAAACTGAAGCAAAGTTCTATTTCAGACTCTTATTGCTTATCGGTTTCTAAATCAGTACGCTTCTACTATTTTTCGCGTTGCCATTAAGGAGTAAAGAAAAGATTTTATTCAAACCGGAACAGTAAATTTACTTATGTTTTTAAACTATACCAAACTTTATGTCATTTGTATTACTGTATGCTCATTTATAAACAGGCAAAGGGAAATTTTAGAAGTTGATTACAATGTTAAGTGTGATACAAGTATTGCCATAAAGATTATAAATAACATGATAGTGATGAACGACTACAAACCTAACGTTTTATTTTTAGGGCTCGAAGATATAGCTATAATTTTCCAGAAGACTTTTGAAGGGATAAATCCAAAGAACATGTCTTTTGGAGAAGTCATTCAGGTTATGAAGCTAGCAATTGAAAATTTGTACCGAGAAAATGGAAAATCACAAGTTGAGTACAGTTTCGATGGAAGAGTTACTGAAAACATTAAGAAATTGTACGATCTCTATCTCCAGTTTCATCCAAAAGCAATGCCATCCTTTAATATGTATTTTAACTTGTTTGGTGAGTAGTAAAACTAGTTAGATTTCTAACTTTTAATACGGTTTCGTTTCATAAGAGTTTATTACATTGAGAAAATGACATTTTGTAAGTGAATTTCCATTTCTAAATTAGAAATAGTACATAAATGAAAGAACGTGCAGTTATTTAATATCATGCGAAACTATATTATCATGCATAAAAATTTTTTAATGTCTCCTATGCGGATTCTTAACGTTTGATCAATGTAGGATACCGCTAGCGTTGATAGCACACAAATAAAATAATGCCATGAGAAGATGATTTTTATTCGTTATTCTCTCTTAAGGTTAAATCTAATTGACTCTTAAAACCACATGCAGTGGTACCTCGGTTGCATCATTAACCGTTCCGGGTCCTTGGAATTGTATCAAAAGAACTTTTTCAATAAGGAATAAAGGGAAAATTATCAATCCATTCATATAAAATAATATTATTGGGCGTGTTGTTTAGTACCAAAATATAAATGCTGCTTATTGTACATAAATGAAATACTGTATATAAAAGTTTTTTTGATACTCTGAATCAAAAGCAATCTACCAGCGTCTCTAATGTCTCTTGAGTTTGTTTGGTTAATCAATTTCATTGGTCAAATCCCGGATACGCATGTCCTCTTCATACTTTCCAACAATCACCTTTTTCACCTCTGGGGCGATGGGCAGTAGCAGAATTGTCTGGAAAGAGGTAAACAAGTGTAGCGAGCGCAGTCATGACTTATCGAACTCGAATGATATTCCAAACAAATTATCGTATACCAAAGAAAAATGTTCGCATTCAAACAGGACGTATATCAAGTTGGATTTAATTCAAAGCGGACATGTACCGAGGTACCATTGAACTTGTTTAACGTTCCTGCACTGCAGATAATTTATAAATCTGGAGTTGAATTAAAAGTCTAAACTCCGAAAAATGTAGACAAGAGATAAAATCGAAATTAAAAGTTTATTTACTTTTGGCTTGTTTGACAACTAAAAATTTAAAAAATTTATTCAGCGCTCCTTGAGCGGTCTTGGAATTTTAAAAAAAAACCTTAAATAACAGAAAACAGTAAATGGATTAAATATCTATTAACCAAGTTATAAATTATTCTCATTCTCTAGGCGTAAACAATAGCAAATTCCAAAAACATACTCAATGAAACCAACTTGAACTACAAGTGGGCGGTTCATGAAAGAAACCGCTTCGGTAAAATCTTTCTCTCAGGCTTCATTGAGACAAGGGCTTTTCGGTCATAAAGGCTTTTGTGGCTTAAAGCGCAAATATCATTAATTCCATTTCGAGCTGTGTAATAGGGCTTAAGCAGTAGCCAATCAAGGAAGTTAAAGTTACACATGGGTAAGCATGCAGCTGTTTCAACGTAACCCTTAACCGAATCTCAGCTCGTATTTCCTTCGCTGTGACTGGTCAGTTTTGATACTAAGTTGGCAAGTCGAAAAGTGAGAATATTCAGGCAAAATCCTTAACTTAATTTTTGTGACGTAGCAAGGAAGCTCGGCTTAAACATCTTACGAAAAACAGTCGTCTGAAGGAAACCTCAATTAATTTACATTTTGGTGACCTTAAGGGAAAAAATAGAAACAGAACACAATTTATATAAAAATAAAGCTTTAATTAAAATAAACTTCATAAGCTACATAAAATTATCGATACAAGAATGCCATTTATCTGTCAGTGTTTGAGTACGATTCCTGTGCGGTCTGTTGCATCAAACAGTCCTCGGAACAGCGCTGTTTATTGTATATCAATTATTGTAATATATCGCTCGATTAATTGTTGTTGGTAACTTCGATGTGATCTTTCAATACCAAGAAAGCAGTATAAAGTGTTAAGAATACATTTTATTTGAGATACTTAGCCAGGTACAATTGGTATGCTAGAAACTATAGAAGATGAAAGTATGAAAGTAGAAACATAGAATAGTTATTTTTGAAATGAATGTCAGTATCTACAGTGTAGCACAGATTTTATTTCACTGAAATATCTGTGTTTACAAAGTTATAGTAAATATAAACGTGGGACAGACATTTGGGATATCCCTTACTGTTGTGATAGAATACACTAGATAACTTGATGTTTAATTAAGATACAATAACAAGCCGAATAAATATTAATAAATATAATTTAGAAACCAAGCAACAAAAATCAGCGTTAGATTTTTCAATCATTATATCTTATCTCGTTCATTTGCGCTTTTGCAGCTGAGAATGATGGTTCGGTAAAACCATCGAAACTAATCCTGTGAAAATTTCAAAATATAACGCTGATTTTTGTTGTTTGACTTCTAAACTACCTTGATGTTTCTTTTGAAATATTGTGAAGATAAAATATTATATAACACGTGAATCTAAATCCATTACATCAGTAGTCTCAAACTGACGGCTTCCAGAAGCCGCAAAATCCGAAATGCATTTTCCCTAAAATGATTAGCATTATTGTAATATTAACTATTAGAATAAGAATTTGAAGAACAAGATTGGGATTTTAATGATTTGGATTCCAATTTTGAATTATTTTCATTACTATTAAAAATGAACGTGAGTAATGCCCCAGTAAATTCTTCAAATGAAGATAACTAATTTACAATATAATATAAACCTCATTCACATACTTGAAGATCCAGTTTGCATTAGCTTTTATTCATACTTCTTAAAAGACAAATACCCTCAATTACAATTATTGCAGTAAGAGTAATAGCCTTTTTCTTGGAGTATATTTGTATCCAAATATTTTTTCCGTGCATCCGTATATGAATAGAAGCAGAGTGATCGATGAGCATCTCCAGTTTGTGATAAAGATAATTTCTAGTAATTTTTTTTTAAGTTTATGAACTTTAACGGAATCGAAACGCCATGAGGTGTTTAGCTAAAAATTGTAAAAAAAATAAAGAAAGAAAGAAGTTAAGAATTATTTACATACAAGTATATGTAGATATTTTCTGTGTATGCTTCAAAGAAAAAGTGTAATAAATAAAAGGAAAAGAATAGGTTGTCGTAATTTATTCTCAAGTTTGTCTCACTCAAAAAGATTTCGTAATCAATTGATTTATTGTTTAAGTTTTTATTTATAGTTTTTTGTTTTTGGTTAATTTAACATATTATAATTATTTGAAATAAATGTCATTCTGAAAACTTGATATTAGCTATCAGTGCGTTTGAATTACAAGGTGTAACCAACAGAAACTTCTTGCACATACCAGCCTTTAGAATTTACAACAGAAAATTAATGACAAACCAGATTTTTTTTCCTTTGCGTCTTTATTATTACTATTTATGCATATTTTGATAAATATATTTTAAATAAAATTAAAAAGTTTTTAAAAAATTTGTTTTGTAGAAACAAATTGCCATTTTTGTTTTAAAACATCGGCCCGCCAGTTGTTTATATATTACGCATTTGGCCCACGTACTGTCTGAGCTTGAGACAAATACATTAGATTATTGTGTCCAATAAAAAATCATATTTTGCCAATATCTCCAAAGCCAGAAATCAAAAGAACCGAGATCCACGATCACACTGACCTGCTGCCAGAAAATCCAAATTATAAGCCTTTTATTTATAATGCACTCCATCCTATTGTCACCTACTTAAAATCTTAATAATGAATTTATCCTAATGACCTATCATTGTAGTTTATGCATGTGGCATGTGACCAAAGGGGGTTATTGTTCAGCAACAAACAAAAGCCAGATACGAATAAGTTAGCAACTATTATGAAGTTTATTTAACATGACTTGAGAATTACGAAGAGGAAACATTTACAGTAACTGAACACCTATTTTTCGCAGGTCGCAGATTATATCACATACATTTCTCTAATTTATGTAAAGTTTCCTGAAATCCATCCATACCTTAATCTATTAATTATCACTATAAGTTCAAAAATAATCATGTATCAATTCAAGGTTGTTGTTTAGGAAAAATTTCAGATGTGCAGGTAAAGACAAAATCTTAGTTTCAGGGGAATTTGCTCAAAACTAGTTCATTCGAAGCTATGGTTAATATAAGCCTTATTTACATTTGTTTATAACCATATTTTCTTTACATCTTCTTAGAGTATGGATTTATTCGTTCATACGAAACTGGAAGTGAAATTAAAAATAATTAAGTAAAAACTTGTGGATGTGGTAGATGTGGAGCAAATATTTCACACTTATTGTTATGTATGAAAGGAGCGTTCACGTATGAAGGACCAAAGTTATATATGAAAGAAGCATACAACCTGCTAGGTCGGGATAGAGATTTGGATGTTTACTAAAGGTTACTAATGTTAAAATGTTTACTAAACTAACAACATATATATTTTAGTTTAATACATGTTCAAATATTTACTAAAATAACAACATATATATTTTAATTTAACACCTTTTCAAACTCAGTGAAAGTAATAGAGAAAGAAAAAAAGAAATTCAGGTCTTTGTATTATAAGGAGAGGTCTTATCTTCTTCTTTTTAAATATTTTATAATATTAAATTACCATATTTTCTGAATATGAGCCGCATAACGTCATAAGATGTACCTCACATTCATGAGATGGATTTTAGAAAAAACATGGTTATAAATATTTATGATGTCTTAATTTTTAACTATTATTATTAATTTGGTTTTTATTATTATTATATTTATTATTAATCTTTTATATACTTATTCTTAACTCATTCAGGAATATTTTTAATTTGTAAGCGTAAATTTGACAACATTTTTATGGAAATTCAAATTCTTTATTTTTGGTTAATTTTATCATTAGTTATTATTAAAATTTTACATTCTTATCCATATTTATTCAGCATTATTTTCATTTTATTAAAATAATTTGGCGATTTATCTCATATTAACTGCCTTCGGACTATAAAACACACCTTAATTTTATGTTAATTTTTTAGCACATTTTATCTAAAATCTACTGCTCTGCTTTCATACATTTATTTCTTTACCAGGAAGTACTCTCGGCTTCCTTAATACTGGAGATATGGCTGGAATGTCAACGAAATTGGAGAAGATTCAGTCTTTTCTAAGTAACTTACGTGATGGTGTGACTTATAACACGACAAGAGTCATTCGTATCATTGAAGCGTATCACCAAGTACCAACAATGATGGGATTACCACTAAACTGGACAACTAATGCTACCTTGGCCTATTCTGTCCGCGCAGGTTTAACGTTGAAGCTGAACGAAAATTACGAGGTGGATTCTCAAGGTTTTCTTAACCCCAGGTTTAATAACTTTTTCTCTTGTGTAATTAATAATAATATAAAAATAAAAATATTAATAAAAACTGCAAAGTACGATTGTATAACAGAACTAAAAAGAGCATTTTTTCCCCTGATGAGAAAAATACTTTTCTCCTTCAAAGTTCAAAGTACATTGCACATCGCTGAGCTATTTAAAAACAATTTCCCATTTGAAGCTAATGAAGCATATTTGTGCCTCTGTTAGTATTAAAAGAATTTAAAAGTCGTTTCTAACGCCATGTATTGGGTTGTTGCAAATGAAATAGCTATGAATGATCTCAGGTTTCTACTCATTGCAGCAGAAAGCAAGAGCTTATTTCTTGAAAATTTTATGTGATAGTATCGCATATGGTGATGCAACGTTAGTATTTGTTTCGTACAATGAAAACATTAACGTGCATTGAAACATTGAGTAATAGCGACATCAAGTCAACTGCAGAACACTGTTATACCTTTACTAGCTCAAATTTGGGAAATAAAATAATAAACTGCAATAAAAAGCGTCAAGAATTATTCGTTGGAGGCAGATTCATTCGCCACTAACTTGCAAAATTTCGCTGAGGAGAACTGTAGTTGAAAAGGAAACTCGTGGGCGTTTACTCTACTCAAAGGAAATTTCAAGAAATTGAATAGAATGAGATCCACAAGAAACGGTACGAAAGATAGCCCACATATTAAATGCACACTTTTCAATTGTTTCACGGCACTTAAAAATGATGGGAGAAGTCAGGAAGCTTGACAAGTAATTGCTGCAAAACAAGAAATCATGAAACTGCACTAATGAAAACAAGAAAAACGGCATTTTGTTTCTGTGCTTTGGATTTTGTGAGCAAATTTGTATTTGAATTTGTTTGGAACACGAATTATTTTCCTAGTTTTGTATGCTAGAAATCATTTATATAAAAATTGTTTTAATACTTTTTCTGCATTATATTTGTTTATAAGTATGCTTAAAGACAGACAAAGTTCAAAACAAATTTGGTTTTTTGATTCTCTTATGTATATTTTTTCCTACAGCTTTCAATAGATCAATTACAACAGTAAATGATCTAGTGATCAATTACAACAGTGATTAATCCTGTAGTGGAGATGTATATTATGTGGATTTAATTATTTTTTAATAAGGGCAGCTTAAATATTAATAAAACTTATTAATAGATAACTTATTAATAAATCTAAAACAGAACATTATAAAGAACTAGATAGTGTTCATTTCATAATACTGACAAGCAATGTTTCGCTGTAATTTAGTAAATAAGTGAAGGATTTAAGTGGCAATGAATTCGTTTTTAATTCTGCATTAGATTTTCTGTAAAAAATGAAAGCTAATAATAATCGGATAATTGTTTTTCTATAAATTTACTCATGACTTGCTAATTTTTTTATACAGTGTTATTACCTATTGACTTCATATTTGTGAATGAAGGATAAAGGTTTTAGTTCTTTTATGTAAAGTAATTTAATATTTTAAATGTATTTATATGATCTGTATTAAAGTTTAGATAGGAAGAGGTTATAAATGGAGTTCAAATGTTTTAGTGTATTAAATTCTACGCTTTCTTAGAGGAAGCAATTTCAAAAGAGGGATAATCGCATAATTCTTTATTCAGTTTTGAAATTTATTTAAGTCTAACACTTTAACAAGTGCATTTGAATAAAACTAAACTACAAACTTTAAATTATACGAAAGTGCAACGCAACATAAGAATTAACACCAAAAATGTATATACTTTTAGTACGAGTTATTAAAAAAGAGTTATTAAAAACGCACAGTATTTTCCCTTCAGTGGAAAAAAATGAAATAAAGCAATTGTATTCTTATACTTTTATAATGTTCATGTAAAACTGGGCTGTATATTATAAATAATACTTTGGAAATAATTACGATGTGGACTTCTTCTAGCAGTAATTCTTTAATATACAAATTATTTCATAGTATACAACGTATAAAAGCATGGAAATGAAGAAACAGATAATAATGATAGTGCTGATAAGGGCATTGTTGAAGCATCCCAAACCATTAGCGTTGTGAAGCCGTTTTCTTGCCAGCTAAATAACGCTCATATTATTCGTTCCATTGCATTTTAAAGTGGGAAGCAGAGGAAATAAATCATAACGGAAATTTTGGTTTATTAGAAATAAAAAAATCAATTGGTTTTATATACAGTGGACTCTTGGATCACAAACAAATTGGTTCACGAATAAATCTACCAAATGAAAAACATCTTGGATGAGGAACGATATCTCGAGATGCGAATAAGTATAAGTAGGTATCAATTGATACTCCAAAATGTAATTAATGCATTGAAGGAATTGAACAAAATTTAAAGGGAAAACGATGATTCTAAGATAGAAATGAGAGGTGTTATAAGAGGAAGAGAGGAGAAAAAATCAGAAAGTCATGATGTGATATATTTTTAAACTGAATAGGATTTAGCTTTAAAACAATAATATCTTGTTGCTTTGTCTTCTTCACCGTTTTCTACTTTCGTCGTTAACTTTCCTTTGTGGAAATGCGGTAAAATTTAATTCAGGTTTTCCTATATCTTTTTCTTTTGTACTCATAAATATAGTGTATATGTTAATACTGTGGATTCCATTAGCTTTGCATTACGATCTTACATTCAAAGTATTCTCTTCTAGGCAATCACTTGGGATCCGAGAACGGATTAATTCATTTTACATTAATTCCTATGAGAAAACATTGTCTCGATTTACTAAACGTATTATCTACAGGAAGGAATTAATTTCTTGAGCCAAGATTTCACCGTATTATATGATTAATTTGAGCATAAAAATTCAAAACTGAATTTCTGCCAAGGATTCATTTGCTACGAAAAGCATTATTCTTTTTTTAATCTCGCTTAAAACTTAAGATTAGCATTTTTTAATTCAAGTTCATTTATCAGTTAAGTAAAACTTCTAATTAGTTTCATAATTTACAAAATCTGTGTATTTATAGACATATTTTAATATCTTGAAAATAACTGCATAACTTTCAATAACTATGTAATTTATTTTCAGTGCTGCTTTGACTTTCCTGAACAGGATGGTAGTAGATTTTCCCACTGTTACACAAATAGGAGTACAAGCGAATAGTTCCGGTTACACTTCTACTCAATCAAAAGCTAAACTTATTTATACAGAAAAGAAAAAACTACTTAGCTTTGAGAAACCTTCAAAAAGTCAAAAACTGTTAGAACTGTTGTAAGTACATCTTAAATGTCTTCTACTGACTTTTATAAATTTTATTTTATTTTGCTTTTTATGGTTATGTTTATGTTATGTTATGATATTGCGCCAGAAAAGAGTTTCATTGATTGATATTGTTTGTTAAATATTTTACCGCTTGTTACTGTTACTATTTTTTTTCTTTTCTTTAGAAAAACTGGAATAAAAAATTTCAGATAACAGTCTAAAACATGGGTTTCCAACGGGATTGGTATGACCCCTTAGAGGTCTACGATGTTTTAAAGTTAATTTGTGATGATCAAGGCATCGATTGGGCCTTGATACACAAATATGCATCGGTTATAATCAAAATGCCGTTGGTTACAAAAATGTATTAATAGAACTGATAATTAATTTTTCATTCATATGAAACTTCATCGTATAAATAAATCAAGTCTTGTTCAAAAAAACACGGGTAAAGTTTTGGAATTTAAAAGTCATTCGAGAAAAATACCCCAAAATTAAAGTTATTTACTGGACCAACATTATTCGCTTTACCTTCTTTTTACCCAATGGAAGCAAGCCTTGGTCATCTCAGTAACTTACTGAAGAAATCAAGATGCAGGTTGAATACATCTGACCAAGGTGATTTATGAGTTTAATTAAGCAATTTTATGCTAAATATTAGCGCCGCTATCACATGAATTAAAATCGAACTTGTGGGCAGTAGAATCTAATTTTGTGTTTATATTTTTAAAACTGAAAATAATAATAACACAAAGAATAAGAAAACGTAAGTCTAATAAACCATTTTTTTCCTAAAACTTTTGTTCGTACTCTTTGCCTCGTTGTTATTCATGCACAATCATTTGTATTATTTTCATATTATATACTCATATTATAGAGAAAAATATAAGGGGTTCGATGAAGAGAACTATTCTTTAAAAGCCGTTAGACCAAAGAAAAAGGTTTGGAATCCCTGGTCTAAAATCCTGAAGAATTTGAAATTAAAATTCTAAAAGGTAAAAAATATATAAATTATAAGCTTAAAAAACAGTTGCAGTCTTACCTTGGCATGCAGATTTCACTTTAATACATAATTAATCAGTTTTAACTTACAGTTACGACAGGCCTATTATTTTAAGAATTAGGCTCTAACTAATTAAAGATATGGAACATTAATTCTTACAAACTGTTGAAGATGACAAAGAAAAAAGATAAAGAGTTTTGTTGTGATATTATTTCATCATAAATTGATACCACGTTTAAGGAAAATGTTGTTTAAAAAAAAATAAATAATTGTATAAGATTTAGCTATGCATTTATTTCACTGAACCGCTTGCGCATGAGGCTTGCAACAAATTTTTCCCTTGCACGACAATACGTTTATTTTGCTAGAACATGAAATCTGCTGATTGAGAAAAGCTTATTGATAAACAGCTCTCTGAAATGTTTAAACATCTCAGAGAGCTGTTTAAAAACAGTCTTCTTTTGGAAAAGTATTTTCAGTATTTCTGATTTCTTATTTTTGTAAATTATTAGTGAATCATAGGTAATTTTTTAAAGTTAAAACTACTATTTCAATCAGTTCCATTAAAGGATACATGAAAATAAGAAATTTTTGGCAACAAAATATCTTTAATACATTTCTTCCGGAATTTTGAGATTCACACCATAAGATTTTCTTAGGACTGAAGAAATCTTTAAAAATAAATTATGATAGTTATGCTAAATTTCTGATTAGTAAAAAAGTAAATAATTTTTTTAATTATGTAAAAATTAGTAAAACCCACCTCATATGTAAACTAAACTTGTATTTTTGAAAAGGTTTACCAAGGAATCGTTTTCGTGTAAAATAGCGTACATACATTGTAGAAACCATCAGGAATTTTATTTCGGAATAGATGATATGAGAAATGTGCATTGCCCTAGTCGGGATTCGAACTCCGAACCACCTAATTTTAGCCGGATGTACTTTCCAGTTGCACCATTAACGCATGTGATAAAGCAAAAGAAAATACTTAACATATTTCCCCTTACATAACAAAGACGATTGGGGAGGGAGGGACTCAATCGCTAATTCCTGACGTCCTTCACCTTTCGGGAGCCACTATGGAGTCATTTTTAAAATTGTATTGGAACCAGAAAACAGGATAAAACAGCTATGCTCTAGCCGGGATTTATACTCTGAAACTTTCGATGCTTTTCAATTACACTATAAAGGCACCCGGCAAAGAGAGAGAAAATATTTTACAATATATGCTTTTTATACTGAAGGAAGAAAAGAGGACAATAAACGGCCAGCTTGAAGGTTAAATAATGTGGTTTCATTGTACGAGTACGTTATTTTATAACTGTGTACCTAAATAGAGATCTAGTAGCGATAAGCAGATAAAAATTTAGCATTTATAAATTTGTCCAGAATTTGAATTTCGGTGTAGTAGTATATAATTCATACTGATGTTTGCAATGGTGTGTAAATCTGAGCCAATTTGCACTAGAATGTTCTTTTCAAGAATGATCACCCAAAGCAAAACTTTTATTGTTTGTCTTAATATAAGACGCCAGTTACAAACATATACAGTTTTCGCTCTAGATGTCTTTGTATATGAAATCTATCATATTTTGTGTGAAAGACATGGCAAACATGCCGATTCTGACTGATTATTAGGCGGCTCCTATAGATAATATTTTCTACAAATTATACTGTGGCTCCAGTTTATTTGCCGCATATTGGCAACCTGCCTATTTGCAATAACCAAGTACAAAAACCTGCCTATTTGCTCGAGGATCCGCATATCCAGTTTTGTGCTATGTTAAAATTACAGTTTCGCCATTTAATGCTTTATTACTTACTGATTATTATTATTATTATTATTATTCGTATTCTGCTGTTCATAGAAAATCTATTTTGTAGCGACATACTTACCACAAATGTAGATATACAATTTTATCATTGATATAGTTTGATATCGTTTTATATTCCTTTCTACGTTATCATCGATTAGACCAAGGAGCTTGAATTTGTTAAATTTAGAAACATTTTGAAGGTAATGAGCAACTTTTTTTTTTAGTGTAAAAGCTCGATCGCGACAATAAACAAGTTTAAAATCCGTGTTGCTTGCTTTTTATGATATTTATTTATACTTATCTCACACTATTTGTGTATAATATGAGTGCGCATTTCAAATGCATCTTTTATAGCATCTTTTTATAAGATCATTCACACAAAGTATTTTTGCTTCCCTTGTACAAAGCAAAGGAAATACTGTAAAAGCGAAATAATTTCGGGTATTACATTTTAACGGAAATATCTATTTTGATCGTTTTCGAGTTCAAATTTACGATTTTTTTTGCGTAAGGCCTGTACATACTGTCGGAATAAAGGACTTTTTTCTCCAAAACGCGTCGTAAAATGGATTTTAAATTATTCAAAAAAGACTTTTTGTGATGTTTGTACGTACGTGTATGTATGTACCTCGCATATCTCATAATCTATTAGCCGTAGAACTCTGAAATTTTGTATGTAGAATTGCTGTAAAATCTAGTTGTGCATTTCCTTTTTTTATTCAATCGGCAGCTTCAAAAATATATATGTGCAATATGCTGCTGAAAATTAATCAGTATAGACAAAAAGTAAGACATCTAGAACCAAATCCACAAAGACCCAAAAGAAGTGAAATTCAAAACAGTAAAATTTTCTATAAATATGTAAAATTAAATAAAAGTCAGAAGAATTAAAGAAACGTGAAATACAAAAAATACATTGGAAGAGGAATGCAATCAAATTTGATTTAACATATACATACAGACTCATTCCCTTGCCACAGTTAAAAGTCCTTCCCCGGCCTTTATTTTCGCAATCATTGATCTGCAAGTATATACTTGCAGTTACAAGAAGGGACTGACCGAAATATTCATGTTTTGGCGATGATTAGTTAAAAAAATAATTTTCGACAAATAACGAAATCTAACTTTTAATGCGGTCTCCCGTTTCCTATACTTATATTTCCTATACTTATTAAGTTTTATACTTATTTATGAAAACATAACACTAAAATAAGACGTTTGACTGTCTTAAACTAACTAGATATTTAATATATACAGAGTTTTTCTGTTTATGAAAGCTGGAATGAATCTCTGTACCTGCATTCACGAAATTTTTAGTGGACTCTCCTGTAATGTTTGTTGTATCGAATATAACAAAGCCTCTTTTAGTAGGAAGCGTAGTCTATTTTTTAATAAGTCGTCTATAAATAATATAAACACTTTTCGTTACAGTCGAACAAACCAATTGATTAGAGGTGATCAATACATTGACATACCTGATTGGGATATCGAAAGGAAAATTTCATCGTGGTGTACAAATGATAATATGAATTCCCTACTCGGACTGGAAATTTGTCTGGATAAGTCTTATCCTATCGTGACACATCGTCTGAAACCATGGGCCTTGATGGCAGGATGGTGCAAATGGAGATTTGTTATAAATCCATTTGATAGGTATGTATTTTTAGTGTACAGTTGCGGCTGAATTTGTGCAGGATTTCTCACTCTTTGTTTTAAGTGTTAGTTTATTCAAGTTTATGACTTCTGTTCATGTCAAGATGCATATAATTCGCTCTTGACGAAAAGACCTAAGAAGTATTAGCTATTCTGAAGTAGCTGCTACTTTGGTGAAGTAAATTATTTCTTAATTAAATTTCACATTCGAAAGAATACAATTTAATTTTTAATAAATTAAAGACTATATTCAGATATTAAGTACTGATATCAAACTAAGCATATCATAGGCTTATTATAAGCTGTAGGTTGCATTAAGATTTTTTGAAAAATAACAAAGTCAAATTACATAATTTTCTTTGCAGTTAATATGAATAACACAATAAAAAAATAATAACACAATAAACTGAAGTTAATAAGAATAACAAAATAAAGCTAGTCAGAATATGAAGGAATTTCAAAACAAGCATAAATCTTTTAACATTACCATAGACTGTGAATTTAGGCCAAACAGATAACGTTTCACATTCCCTCTGATTTTTGTATTTTGACAAAAGAACATCCGCTATTGCCATGTGTCAACAAAATCATAATAATATGATAACCATAATAAAAATAATAATTTATAATACTAGTAATGAATTAATTAAACTTACTAAACAAATTAAATAAAATAAATGAATTAAATAATTAAATCAAATTAAATAAATAAATAAATAAATGAAAATGTTAATTAATAAATTAATCAAAATAAAATAAAGAAAGAAATAAAAAGAACGTATGAGGTTACTTATTAATAATTTGAACTACTAACACTCGCAACAGTTACCAGTTACACTGCATGCTGTAATGTTTTAATGCCTCTTTGATCGTGTTAGGAATACATTATTGAACTTTAAGAAAACTCAAGGGTTGCTGAACATATCTGAATATGGATGTCAGAAGCGATTAATTGAATACTATTATACTACTGGAATTTAGTTATGTATTTAAACTTAACGAGTTAATTAGACGGTTATTTTAGTTAGACTAACTAAAGAAGCCTTAAAACAGAGCGTTGAAAAAATTTTCTGTAACATTTGTCACTTCTGTGCTTGTCAGAAGTGATTGCCCGTTTCGTTGCGAGTAGCTGCAAAGCCTGAAATTTTTTAATTCGAGACATTTAGTACCATACTCAGGTCGGAAATGAACAAAATCTAATTTTATTTAAGATCTTTTCAAGTTTTGATTTTCTTAAATTTGATGTTCTTTTAGTTTAAGACTGTTTAAATGCTTAGTTTAATGCTAGTAAATCTTTATTTAATAATAAAAAAGAATGATTTTAAGTTCTTTTAAAATGTTACCTATTAAAGGTGTTAGAAAATTTCTGCTTTTATCTCATTTCGAAGCTTTTCAATCAAGTATATACGAGGCTGAAATTACAGAAAACTGATTTTATCGTCCTTGTCATAATTTTTTCCTCTCCAGGAAACTCAAGTCATATGATTTGGAACTAATAAAAATACCACAAGGAAAATCTAAAGAACTCATTTTGAGGTTTAGTACCCCTGGTAAGTTTTGCATACTATTTTACTGTTATTTTCAATTTAGTTATGAATTTATTACTTTTAGCAATAAATGTATATTATTGGACAAATAAATACATAAGCTATTTAAACATATCCTAGTTTAAATTAGGTGATGTTGATAAATTGAAAATTCCTATTGAAAAACCAAAATTCAAGTTATAACAATCTAAAATGGACTCATTTTTAAAATATTAATTTTAACTTTTCAACAATAAAGATCAAGACATTTATTGTTGTTAATAAACAAATATTAGGTAACGTTTTAAAGAAAGCTGAAGCATTCATAACAAAATGAAAAATATAAATGTAGTCAAAATTAGTTTGTTAAATGATTTAGTCAGTAAAAGAAAAATATGTAAGTAAATAAAATGAAAAAAGAAATAAATAAACACTGACGAAGACGTTTTAATGGCACGAAGAACATGTAGAATAACAAATTAATTTTCAAATGCAATAGTGACCCTATCGGATATTACGGGGTGGTTTAGTTTGGTTTACCGGATTATAAGCAAAGCATACGGGGTCTATCCGCCAAAGAGATGGAACACCTTCATGGAGAACTTTCTAGAGTAAACTGACTCGTATCCACGTTACGTATGGGGAAAACTACGAAAGCACTCAACCAGCGTATTTACCGAAATTCGGGTTCCGCTCGAACCACTAGGATTCAACAGCTTTACCGCTAAGCCACTGGTGTGTCGGATATTACAGGATAGAAGCAGATTATGGAGCTCGGAACAACCATAAGACAATAATGCCGTGTTTAACAATGGTTCACTTATAAACGAATGACAGGTGTGTTTGATGAGTATACAGCCTGAAAACAACATTTTAACTACGAGTATGGCTGATATACAAAACTGCAGGTGTGATTACTCTACCAGTTTTCTGAATTGTTCGTTATGTGGCGCAGAGTCTTCCCTTCCACATATCCTATACGAAGAGTGTGTGGCATTCGTTAAGAGGTTTTCACACATGGCTACAGTCCCTGCTAGACGGGACTTTTCTGACAAACGAGATTCTGGTAGCAGTGGTTTAAACGGGAGGATTCCTAGAAAAGAGCCCCGCCTGAAGCGAAGTCCCGCCTAGCTACAGAAACTATGTTGAGGCGAAGCGGGAGTTTTCAAAACCTCACGGAAAATGTCTTGGCTAGACCTCAGTCCCGGGTAGAGACAACCCAAGCAGACGAAAGTTCTGCTTCTGAAGTCTCACGTGATCCCAATCTGAGCGATAATCGATTAGTGTTTGGCGTTCAAGCCTTTGTAGTATGTGAAAATGGTAACCTAGCTAAGTGGGTTTCCTGGAATTGTGCGGGTTCTAAGAATTGTCCCTTTGGACGTCAAGTCTCGCATAGCCGAAACATAATGTGATTGGGACTTTATTCTCACCAATGATGGGACGAACTATAACACTTTCGAAAGATCCGTGGTAACTTTAACTAACTTCTTCAAAGGTAGCATTATCTTAAAACGAATATCGTTACCTAGATCTTCAGATCTTGAAAACATGCAGTTGAAAGCACAATATTCCGGTAACTGATGATATCAACCGCTCACTTCTAATTGAGTTGATTGATCACTTGAATTGAGACATGAAGCGTTCGACTGCTAATTTCCTGCTTGAAGAAAGAGATGCAATTACTATTGTGATGCAATACGCTGGACATCTGTCATATGCATGTAAGATCTTGTATATAATTTCAAAATATGCATATAATATCTTGTATATAATTTCAAGATTAAGATATCAGAAGCAAATCGTAGAAAAGAAAGCGTCTAAAATAAAAAGAAATGTTATGAGCTTAGATTTCTAACTCTCTAAATTAAAGTAAATGCATCATGTTAACTATAAAGAAAGGTTTACGTCTTTATAATAATAAAATACGTCTAAAAGGATGAAATCTTTAACCTGCATTGTGCCTGAAATTTTACGATGGTAATTCAAAAACTTCGTGAAACTTCTATATTTAATTATTTTATAGCAAAACATATGATGGTTCAAAATTCATAGACATGATTATTTCGCAGCAAAGCACAAGATGCTCATTTGGATTACGAATAACCTGAAAATCTTCAAATTTCTAGCTCTTATTGTTTCGATATTTTTGATTCCGAAATCCAAGTCTAACATCATCCAATAAATTTTCGATCGCCATGTATATTCCAACACCAAAAAAGATCATTACAAATCTCGTGGGCTTCTTGAGCTTTCCGGCATAACATAAGTTTTAAATATTATATATAAATTATACAGGTTATTTTTAAGGTAAAAGAAATCTTCCTGTAATCCCTTCGGAAAGTCTTAGTGTAGTAATCAGAGTAGATTAAAATTTGTGCAATAGTTACTCACTTTTGTAGTTTTTCATTCATTTGATTAGATAAAAGTTACCACAAATGTATAGCTATATTTCGGCTTTGGTAATAGAAATACTACCATGTTGAACATTTTTAATGAAGTTGTAGCCAGCAATAACATAAAGCTTCCATGTGCCATCAAAAATCACACACAAAGTTATGTTTAACAAATAATGCTCAGAACTACCTTAGAGGTGTAAATAATAAAATCTAACGATATTGAGACTGTAAATGTAGTCTAACTTTGCCAGCATATTAAATAAGAAGTTCTTTACTGGAATGTTTATCGCCCAGATATGTACCAATAACTCCATTCCCATTCAAATGAGAAACATATTCCATTCCCATTTGAATGACTAAAAATCGTTTAAAGTTCTATATTCGATTACGCAAAGTACTAATTGTATGGACGTTTTGGTCTTCCTTTTAGAATTAAATCAAATTTAGCTTCGCATAAGAAATTTTTAACAAACGCATCCCTCTCTGTCAACAAATAATCTTTTATTTATCGAAATAATCATCCCAATAATCAAGCTAATGCTTTACCAATCAAAACTCAACAATCTTATTACATATTGGAAATTAAACATTTTTTCTTAAAGGTAGAAATATAACAACTATTCTGAAAATCATTTTTACGAATCAATCATTATTTATTTGACTAGGAAGCGAGAACAGCCGAGAAATCTATGTCACTGCAAATATGAATGAAACAAATGGAGAAATGAAATTTGAACTGAAGCCTACAGCATCTTCCAATTTCCTCATATCATTCATTCGAGATATTATAACAGATAGTGGGAAAAATATTGGATATAAAAGTGTTGCTATTTTAAAACTGGACAAAGATCAGCAGTACCAGTTAACTTACAAAGTAAGTGCCATTTCTGGACTATTCTTAATTCAAATTAAATAAAGCATGAAGAATTAATTGTAAATTACTCAGTTATCGTTTAACGGAAGTATTCTAAATTATAGGTATTTTTATTTTGCAAAGTATAATAATATAGTAATGGATTCAAACGAAACTTGGAAATTATTTTCAATTGAAGTAAAAACTGAAAATCGAAAAATCATTATTAAAAGATAATTAATAATATTTTTTAATTATATGAATGCTACTGAAACTTTTTACAGAGTTATTTAAAGTTTGTTCACTTATATCATTCTTTTATCAGCAACAAGATAAGATGGAAGAACGGGAGGATTTCGAAGATGGCAATAAATCTCCAAAACCTCAAAAAGTATTTCTAACGACAGATGAACGGTTTCTATCTTTGGAAACTCCATACAATAGGTACAGCTGGAATATCCAGCATTTTAAGAAAGGAGAAAACGAACAGAAAGAGTTGCTTCTGTCTTTCGAAAAGTAAGTCATTATTTTCGATTCGGTTCTTATGAGTTTAGAAATTTAAGTCCTCGTTTTTTTCCCTCTAGCACTTTCCAAAATACCAAATTAACTTCAAAATGGAAACTTAAAAAAAATGTTCTGATGACGATCACTCAACCAATAATGGATAGTTTAGACTTAAATTTAGAACAGCTAAAGAATCAGCATAAAAATTCGGTATTTTTACCAATAATTAAAAGGGTCATAAAAGATACCATATCGCACAGTTGTACTTAATATCATGGAAATTATAATTGTCATACTTTACAAGCTATTTACATATATATTGTAAATTTTTTGCTTTTTAAGCAATAATTTAAACTCTTTCTTCTCTTGGACATTAGAGCTTCATACGGTGAGCTATATTAAAATTTAAAACTCAGATTATCTTTTGGCTGGGGTGAAATTCATTCTGAGCAGGATAAAATACTGAAAGTGTTCTACTTACTACCAACTTAAAAATCTGGAATATTTTGGTGATACAAGGGTTTTAAGAATGAGCGAACCGGACCCTATAGTATCACTATTGACTTCCCGGGTAGCTCAGTTTTATTATCAGAAGATATGCTTTCTGCGTACCTAAATTACCTACACTGAACTTGATATTTGATAATAATGAAAATAGCAAAAAATGCATCCGAAAGAAATGACATTAAATAAAAGCAAAAATCTTCTTAAAAAGTCTAGAATTTTCAAACCCGACATTATTGACATCCTAAGAAAAACTAATAAAATCAACGGCGAAATTTTTAAACAATAAAAAGGTAAAACTTTCTCAAACATGGTTTTTACAACTTTGAAAATCTGATGGTGCCTTGTAAACCTATAAATCCTTTAGAACCTAAAATTTCTCAATAGATTTCTGACAAAAGGAAGAAACTCTTAAAGAATTATCAAATACTAAGAAATTTAATTACTAAAATATTTTTCTATTCTTTGTAGAAAAACATATGTATTTATTCCATTATTCAAGAGATTTATAGATGTTGTTTGATATCATCACTTACAACTTAAACATATCGAGAGGATAAAGTATTATTAGATTTTATAAATTCTATAGGTAGTATAGAATATCAGAATAAAAACGAAAATATCTTAAATGCAGCTTAAGATTATTATTCTGAGAATGAACTTAAAAGAATGAGAAAAAGTGACATAGATGACAACAACATTGGTTTCTTGAAAATTCTGAATCATGCTGCTTGAAAAGCAGAATTACAGCCAATGGATAAAAATAGCGCTATAATGTGACGTATGTTCGCTACATCGTCCTTTCTGGAGTTGAGGAGCAGCGGCAGTTATGTTGTCAGATTGTTTAAACAGCGGGGTAAAAGAGAAAACGCCCTAAAATGGTTACAAAGGAACAAATTATAAATCTATATGTTGGATGAGAAATAATGTGGTTACGATTCGATATTGCAAAAGGTCATAGTGCACAACACTGTTATCAAGGCCATTAAAAATTATGTAGTGACGGTAAGTTGCTACATTGTGCTATGGCACAATAGTTAAAAATATTTCGTAAAGGAAAGTATGTTATTTAAGATCGGTATAACTTCGGATGACCCCAGGTTGATGGCCACATAATTCAGCTCCGTGCTTCCTTTGCCAGATGTAATCATAGATGGACTGATCGGGAGATAGCCACTGAGATAGACATATGCCACAAATCCATGCTGCCAATTCTGCATGACATCCTTGAATATCGTCAAATGGCAGCTCGTTAGGTTATCCATACATTGTCCGAAGTCGTAACCTTGAATGCTTTTTGAACAAGAAAAAATAGCGATTTCACTGAAAGAACCATCAATCGTCCTTAGAAAGTGTGCGCTGCGCTGCATGATTGCGGCATATGATATTCATATGATGATACTGTACCACGCTGCATATCAAGGACAGGCTGTTGATGATACCTACTACTGGGATTTCTTGCAACATCATCTGCATCTAGCACTCAGGAGAATGCGACAACACTTGTTAGTGAAGAACTTCATCCTCTTCCATGATACTGTCAGAATGCGAGCTCTGTAAATGATCTCCAGTGACGGTGACGATGATAAATATTTGACCACCAACCAAATTCACATAAAATGAATTCATGTGACTCAAATCCTTTTCCCCAAATGGAAAAAGCTTTAAAATGCATTCATTACAATATAGATTATCCGTACTATGGGTGGTTTCTGCCGGGCGTCAACAGAAGTGCTGATACTCACGACAAAAGTTGAAATGCAACAGAAGTGCTGATGATCAGCAGTTCACTGACAGTATACGACACCTTTCAATAATTTGCACTGATGCTAGAAATTATGATAAGTGGTTATATAAAAGGATTGTAAGTATAACTACGGTAATGAAGTTTTTAAGAAATATTCCGTATTGTCACTATGTTTTATCCAACCATTAGATATGAATTTAAGACTGAGAGACCTTTGTGTTTCCGTCTATCTGAAACTTGATAGCAGTGCTCAGTGATCTTAGCCACTTCGTCAATCACGGGTTTGGCTTGAACCAGTATTTTTTTGTTGCTTTGGGTTTAATGTAAACACAATGTTTGGTAGATTTTGCCTTTATTATGAATAATCCCCCCCCCTCATTTAGGAATGCTAACTTCATTTCTTTCAAGAATATTTTCTAGTTCAAAAAATAAAAGAAGTTTTCTGTGTAATGAGGAAAACCATAAACATGAATCCAAAACTTCTTGTCATTTCTGAAATAAACTAGATTATACTACCGTACTAGTTGATATTTTAGATTGACAATTTAAAGCTACTGAATAATTCTTTGTAAAGTTTTAATTCTCTAAGGTTTATCAAATTCTAAAAATGTGTGAAAGCTGACACTTTAAATTCGAAGTTCCAAAGTTGCTGGAAAATAATTCTTTGAAAAGTTTTAATTTTCTTATTTTTATCAAGTGTTAAAAATGTTCGAAAAGCCTTTGTACGTCATAGCTCAAGTGCAAGGAGTACTGATAATTTCTTTGGAGTAAGCGGCCTGCAATTTTAATAGCTGTATCAGTTATCAATAAAAAAAAACGAAATACAGGGGTAGTACAAAACAATGGAAACAGTTCAAGATTTGCTTTTATTCAAATCTTGAGCTGTGATTCAAATCTTGAGCTCTTAGACAAAATGTAAAAATTAGTACTGCCTTTTTCTTTTTTTCTTTCTTTTTTTCTGTTAGTGTTTTGTTCATCTTCTCGAGGTTGTACATGAGTGGTTGCTAGAAAAATCCTGCCCATATAAATAGATTACACATTATATACAACCTAAATTGCATGACAACGTTCAGTGTTGCTAGGACTACTTTATTAGTTTGATTCTTTACCTTATTTCTATTCCTAAGCTAGCCATATTATGGTATTTCATTCATATTTATGTGAGGTATCCGTATTTCTCCCGTTGAAAATGTTTACATGGAGGTAATATATATTCCATAGCAGTATATAGGAAATTTTAATTTTAGACATAAAAACTGTTTCATGATGGCAAAACAAGCGAAATGGCAAAGTTCTGGAAGAGCAACCTACAGATGCTCATCTAGCTGCGTCTCGCTGATATCATCTGCAACGCTATTGGGAATAGAGAGAGCCCTACTATGTGAGATGTTATGATAGCAAAGAACGCTTTAGTAAAACATTGTCAGCAACACATAACTGTGAACTGAAAATGAAATTAAGTGGTAGTGAAAGGAAGATTTTAAAGACTTTTCTTGCCTCGACAAGAAAGACCACAAGACAAATATCGCAGCGGAAGTTAAAAATAGATTTACAGAACCTAGTTTCGTTTGAAATATTTGTAAGCCAATTATATACACGCAATTTGTACACCCGAACTGCTGTTGCAAAATACTTTGTATCGCAGATGAATAAATACTACAGATTATAGTAATGCAAGGAACTTGTTCGGCGGAATGCTGATCAATGGAATGTCACATTGGGATCTGATGAATCAACCTCTACACTTTTATTCCTCTCAAGAGACATGTTAAAATTTTGTGAAAGCCAGGTAAAGAATACAATACGCTCTTCCCCTAAATAGAGTTATGACGGCGGTTTCATCATACCTTGGGTATCTTCAACAAATCCCACTATGACTGTGAAAGAAAGGATGGTTACCAGTGACTACGTGACTATTTTGATGCAGACAATTGTTTCCTGTACAGATTGCACATTTTAGAGATGATAGCTCTTCAGGTCATAGAGTTTCTAGAAAGTCATGTCATGCTTTGAAGGAGATGAAAGTGAAACAGCATCTGCAAGGCCGAGAAGTAAGTATCATAGAAAAGCCAGAATAAGAGCTTTATGCTTCTTCAACAGCTTTCAACGATTTGGAGCCATTTCTATAAAAAGAATGGTTAACGTACTCTTATAATCCAAACTTTCTATGCGTCTGTTCCAAAGAAGACTCATTGTGTTTTACTGGTAAATACAAAAGTTATCTTATTCAGATATATAATATTTTGTTTTTTACAGTATTCTCGTCACTCTGTACTGATTCTCTAAATGTACATTTAAATATGATTTAAATACACACACACATATATATATTTTTTAAAACGTGTTGAACTTTTTGGAGCAGCAGCTCTTGGTAACTTTTAGGCGAGCTTACTACAATTTATATATATCCGACATGAGTACAAAACACAGTAGAATTTTGAGAAACCTAAACTGATATTAAACAAAAATTCGACTTCCGGAGAAAGGTTAACATTAATTTCAACTTCGAAATGTGTCATCTTCGAAAGCTAGAATATTTCTGAATTTCTCTAAGTTATATTGTAAATAAATTATGGTTTTAAAGTGCTAAAGTATGGTATGAAAAATTTTTCTACATTTGGCATATCATACGTAAATTTTTCTAGATAATGCAAATTTCTCATATATTGATTTTCTTAGTCTCATATGTAGTAAACTGTGTTGAAATAACTTAATATTGAACATAGTTAGTTATATAATATGTTTTTATATTTTTAGCTTAAATTCGAAGGAAAATACATTATCAGGAATTCTGCCAGATATCTACTGGGAAAATGAATCGAAAGCTTATGTACAATTCCGAATCAACTGGAAAGAACCGAAAAGAAATTCAAATTCTATCAGTCGACAAACTGTATGCTTCGTACACTTCCCTAAATCAAATATAGAACTTGTAGGGAACTCGCTGGAAATGAGCGGAAGAGAACAGATAAATGTAAATCTGACAAGAAATGCAAAGCCTAGTGGGAAGCTGCTTGTGAGTATTAATAATAAAACTTATTTAAAATGGCTTTTGTGGTAAATGGGGAATTTAGAATTTGAAAACATAGTAACAATCTAAAGTAAACGCAGTCTTCAGCAGTAAACTCACCAGACAGCTCCGACAAGTTATAAAATGTGTCAGTTTTTGAAAACTAGGATATTTCTGAATGTTCAAAACAAGGAAAACTAAAGAAACAAGCTACAGGCAAAACCTGAAATTTTCTCAATAATCTCTCAATCTTTCAATCTCTCAATAACTTTTCTAACCTTCTATTGATTGCTGTATTTTTTAACTCTTATAATTTCTTTATAAATACCCTTGAAAGGAAATTTAACTTCATCAAAATATATAAAAATAATGTATTCCGATAAATTTACCAAACTAATTTTTTCTCTTTTTGTTCTTTTTTCATCTTATTGAACGGGAAGGTTAGAGCTAAGTACTAACAGTATTAATCTTTGTCATAGAACTGAATTTTTCCCTTGTTGATGTCTGTTTAATTCGTTTCTGGGCTTTGATAAGGCTGTATCATCAATGCAAATTCTGGGGAAAATTAGGTTTCATTAAATAGTCCTCATCAGGAACTAACAGTAACACGTTCTCTATGTAGAAACCTGATATATTATTTATTACTCGTTTCATAAGACTCGAAGTCGCTTTAAAATGAAACAGAGATCTTCCCTCATAGAATGAACAGAAAAATATAGTTGTTTCTTTTACGATCTGTTTTAGTGAAATACCACATATAATCATCACTCTTCCTTTCTGTAGGCATTCTACTACTTCGTAAGATTCAGAATCATGTAACTTCAATTATGAGAAGTTAATAAAAAATTTCGATGCATTTAAATGATTATTTCCTTCTGTATCTGTATAACTTTCATCGTTCACTCAGCTGAGTGGTAGAATATGCGAGTTAATTACTCGCATATCTTACCACTTAACTGAGTGATCGATGAAATTCACGTTCATTTAATCATATTACTACAATCAAGTCCAAACTTTAAGCAATAAAGGGGAAAAAGCAGATAAAAAGAAAAGTATTCATTCGAATTCACTGAAACTCTCACAGATCATCTGATACAGCAAAAGGCACTAGCATGGGGGACATCCAAAGAAAATATCCAATAAATAGGTAGCAATGCGTTAAATAAAAATGTAAGATTTTGCACAGATAAAAAAGGTTCTTTGTGGTCGAAGTCTGTCAGCGCAGAATATGATGATCTCTCCTGGAAACATTTGCCCTATAGTATTAATTCATGGCAAGAATAAAATCGTCTATGGAGGTCTGGAGTATCTGGTGCTGTTGATGAAACAGAAGCATTTTTATCTCATAAAGCTGAATTCACACTGGGCCGGTGGCGCGAAAGGCGTAAACGCGGAAAGCTCCAAACTTACTTTATTTCTTGCTTTACGTACAAGAAGAAACAAAATGTGGTAGGTTAGAACAATAAACGTAAGATGACTGCAACAAGGAGATGCAAATAATTTAATTGAGAATATGCGCTTGAACGACATCGAAAGTTTTTAAAAATATTTTCGCATGATACTTCATCAGTTTAATGAATTTCTAATCCTCCTTGAAGCACTTATCCGAAAGCAGAACACTAAATTTCGTCAGAAAATTTGTTGTCTGGTATTTTCTGAAAAAATTATCGTTTAGAGGATAGGAAAAGGATCGTTATGTATATATATATATATCTAATTTATTTTATTTATGAATTTTCTTGAATGATAATTAAAAAATCTTAAATGCATATTTCAGAGAGTGAGCTTTTCGACACTATAAAATTTTTTGCAAGATTTATGTACTTCGCTTAACAAAACTAGTTTAATTAACATAATTAAAAATATATTTTATTAATAATGAGTGTGTAGGGATTTTATAGAGCTACCAATACCACATTTCAGAAAAAAAAATTTCGAAAAAATAAAGAAGCAGTTTATTAAAGAAACAAAAAAAGTTAATAATAAAGGGAAAAAATTGAATTTTTATTAAAACATATTTTCTGCCTTTTTTTTATATAATTTTTACTATTAAACGTAGCTTGAATTATTTCAGTTAACCATTAATTAATAAAGTGTTATTTTATAAAGTCACTTTTGCCTAAAACTCACTAAAGTAACTTCATATAACATTTAACATAACATTAGCATGATATTTTGTTTTTTGTTTTGAAAACTGAATTCCACAATTAGGAAATATGCTAATGCTCACGCAAGTGTGTTTTAGACTAATGAAACATTATCATCAGAATTAAATCTCTGCTCGGTTCTTATTAAATTTGTGTGAAAAATGCTCATGGTTTTTGAGGAAAACAAACTTGGAGCCATTAAAATGCCTAGCTGTGTCCCATAAAATCCGCATCAACTTAAGGCTGACTTTTGTACTAATTTAAATGTCACATACTGGGAAGCTTCTTTTCTGTATAAGTAATAGTTTTTCTTAAATTTTTAAACAAATGGCTTACTAGTTCTTCATTTATATAAAATTAAGAACTAACAAAACTTTTGAAATTAGGTAGAAAAGGAACCTTTTACTAGTACCAATATCGATTTTGCTAGTTTGGTGCTAGCCAAAACAGCTTTTACCCAGAGCAGTTTGTGAACTGTGCCAAAGGTTAGAGATGAGAGGATGTTATGAGAAGGATAATGCAAAGGATAAAGCGTTATCTGGGAGGAGAAAATAAGTTTGTAGTTACTGAAAAATAAATGCAAATTCCTCGTGAAAGAAAAAAGAGAAAGAAGAATACCAAGAGTTGCGTACATAAAAATTTGGTGAATTCCTACTATCAGCAAAGAAGAGAATAATCGAAGCCCGTACTTGCAATCTTCAGTATCAGCAGAATTTCTTTCTGGGCGCGTTACCTTCGCGTTAGCGGGTCGGCTGTGTAAAACTGCTTTTGAACCTTCATGTTCAGAGAATTGAATAATTATCTGAGCAATTCTGAAGCTAGCGATAAACCTTGTAGTAAATACCTTTTTAAAATACTAACTCCGCTACAGCACCATCCGTGATGGGACTTGAACACTCAGTTTTTGATTTTAGAGGACAACGTTTTATCCATTAGGCAGCAGGGGCCCGTAGAAGCAATCTTAAATTAATGCACATTTTATGAAAAATTCAAAGTTATGATTTCGAAATCTATGATTATATTCCCTCAAAAATCTGTTGATTTATATTAGTGTGTAAAAATGATCAGTCATTTCTCATTTATGTTGATATTTATGCTTTATTACGTTTAATTTCTATGAGGAAACTAGCCATTTTAAGCTTTGGCCTTTGATTTTTAGGCCGAAAGCGGTGTTCATTTTATTATAGAAACACCTACTAATCAGGCACTGTTACCTCCTATGAAGGGACAGACAATTTACATCCATACCTTCTTCGGGGTTCAAACTTGGGCCCTTCGATACGGTAGTCAGAGTCACTAACCACCTTCCCGTCTAGGCGGCTTATTATTTTTATTCCTAATAAACTTGAGAATTTTCTTTTAAATAATTTACTTAATTATTCTTATGTGTATTTTATTATCATCTGAAATTTTTTTATTACGATTATTCCACTTAATTTCATATTTTTCTCAAGAAGAAGTATTGAAATAATTAATTTAAAACCTACGGTAAAAACTGGATATTTGATATAAGATTTCTGAAAATGACTCGAAAATGTCAGGAAACTGAAGATGAGTCAACTTACTCCATACTACGGCTATTGGAAAATACCGCTTTTAAACTCACTTCTGACTGATTACCCCTTTCTGCTCCCATGTGCGATCGCGTTGGTGTGAAATGGTCTTAAAGAATCCGGGAGCGAACCTTAAGAAAGTTATATGTCGATGGGATTCAAGACAGCTGGTCGTTCCCTAAAAATAATGTTTCCAGTTTTAAATACTATCTATAAAAATGGGATCAAAACCCATGGTTGCAAGAAATGGGCGATCATACTGAGCAACATGAGATTTCTGCCTGACTGCAGTCACAATACCACGACTAAAGATATGGAGATTAATATAGTCGTCGGCAACAGTTCCTACCCAAAGCACCAATCCATTACCTCTGTATACCTATGTGTTTCTATAACAATTGCCTCTATATTAAGTATTCACTATTATAGCCATTGCTTCTGTATTTAATATTTCGCGGATGTTACTGCCGTTATAGTCAGTTTCAGGACTTTTTCAGACTAATAGTTATCATGAATCAGTCCCTAAATCAAACCATGACTCCATTGTTATGGAATCCAGCTGAAGCGATCTTAACACTAGCGTAAGATTAGTCAGTAATAGTTGTAGGTGTCAATGCTACGTAAACCACTGCTTCATTTGTGAACTGATGACTTTTACATATTTATCTGTAAAGATGCAACATCGATAAGAACTAACAACTGCCCCTGACATCAATCGTCAGGGCCCTGGAAATAGGGCATGTGCAACGACTGTGAAGGATCATGAACTATCTCATCGTAACTAGAGAAGTGGTTGTATATGGTCTGTCTATTGTTCTTATTTCATGAAATTTGTAGAGTTCACATACGACATTTATCACGATGATGAAACACTGTTTTGTATACAATACATGATAACATTTGCAGGGAACCCAACACTGAACAATGGTTAGTGATATATAAACTTTGACATATTAACTAATGACGCTTCAAGAATACCGTCCGTTACAAAGGGTTGCATGATATTCAACCCCTGTGATACTAACACATTCAGTAATAGCGCTTCAAGATTTCCCCGCTGTTTAAATGCATATTGCATAAGTCAGGTGTTGATCGCATAGAGGTTATTTTTATTGCTTACTATCAATGCTCTTTTGGTCAAAAATGAATGACGGTTTTCTGAAGAATATTCTTCACTTGTAGAATTTGTTAGATTTCTCCTCTTTTTGGAAGTTTTCACTCCCCTCAAAGAATTTCGGATTTAGTAGAATCAGTAAGTCATATTTCGGGTTTTTTTTTTCCCCGTTTAAAACTTAATGGACCTCTTTCACATGTTACTGGACAATTAAATGTGAGTATTGTTTTGTAATTATCTAGATTTGTTTCCTATAAAAGTGTATGTAATTATTGTAGTTTCAAGAATCGTTAGATTCATTATAATTTAAAGTATGCATATTTCTGCGTTATTGATCCAGGATCGCCATTAAGAGTCTGGGTATTTTAATCACAGTAATTGGCAAAAAAAAAAATGTCCAAAATATGTTAAAAGAGTATTGCCACGGTATAGACTCTCTTATTTTCCGAAAGGTTGTTGTCTGAATAACAAAGAAAGATCTCGATCTTCTGGACTATCCTCCTGCAGAGGTAGCAGTTGTACTGTCTAAAGCTACATCTCCAATGAACAGATATACAGTATGGTTCATTTTATGATCACATAAAATAGTCAGTCCACTATTATTGCAAATGGAGAAATCTTATTCAGAATTATTTAAGACATGTATTTATATGTCAAAAAGGCAACAAATCACTAAAAATATCTTCAGTTCTAAGAAGAGACAAAATAAAAACTAGCATGATTTAATTTTTAATACAAAAGCATGTATACCTTTTTAATCCTATATTTTCAGATCTAGAAACTCTAGAGAACAGTCACACATTGAATCAATTGTCAGGGATTGTTGTTAGTATCATTCAAGATTCAAAATTTATTTAAACTGCATTTGATGTTAAATTACACAATCCTAATAATTTATTATATTCCTTCAGGTTATATATTATAACCTTTCAGGACGCCAAATAAGAAACAAATAGATACAGAAAGTAGCGCAAATAAGCATAAGGAAGATACTTATTTGAAAATAAGCTTTACAAATAGTGAACGTACTGAGTTTTGAGTTAGCTGAAAGATTGTTAGTAAAGGCAGTTCAGTCGAACATACTATAGCGAACTTCAAAGAATCGGAAGTTTTGTCGATCTGAGACGAAAAATGGATTAACTCACATACACATGTAAAACCTGAAAGATGAATCATAAAACGAATCATATATCATCAATCTTATTATCATTGTCACATCTACCAAAGAAAAAAATAATAAAACTAATTTTTTAAAAAAAATCATATTATGATAAATTAACAATTATTATTACACGAAGTTATTAGACTTATAAATTTTCCTTTCCCGTTTCTCTATACGTTATTAATTTTACAGTTTACTTAGCATAAATATCATTGTTCTGATCCTTCTCTCGAATTGCACATTATTATAACTATGAATAAATTATCACATCCATAAGAGTGTAAAAACTCTAAAAATGAAGAATTAAAAAAATGACGGATTTAACTTTTATTTAACTTTTTAACAAAACAAAAAAAAAAAAAATAAAAATAAAAATAAAATAAAAAAAAAAAATGTGTCATTTTCTGCTAGCATGATACAGATTACAGGGAAACTTTATGCCCGGTTGCAAAGCAAAAATTCAGTAATCTTTATAAAGAATATCCTGTGTTTTTCAAAATATCTAAAGTAAGTAAAATCCTTATCTGAAAGACATAACTGAAAGAGCTTTTGTACTCAAACAAAGCAAACCGATAAGGACTAAAATTTTATTCTCTGAAATACATATCATCTATCCAAGTCCCGGGCCTACCAGCGGCCGAGCGGTAAAGTCGCTGAACACTGGTAGTTCGGTCCGAGTTTCGAATCCCGCGAACGGGATGGCTGCATGGGTGTTTTCGTGGTTTTCCCCGTGTGTGACGTGTATACGAGCCAGTCTCTCTTAGAAAGTCCTCCACGAAGGCATCCCTCCCTTTAGGCAGATAGCCCTCGAGGCTTTGCCGTAATTAAATTAAATAACCTACCTGTCCAAGTCCCGAGTTTGTATAATTTAATTCACTGCTTCCTTTTTCCCTGAACAGCAAAATTTACAAAATTTTCATCATAGCCTCAGCCTCGAATTGAGCTGTCTGAAGCTCAGTCAAAGACTTTGGATGGAATCAGATAACTTATTTATATTCTTTGTTTCAATAATCGCTAACACCATACGTTGTTCTAAGACATGCCTTTTTGTGCCCTCGTTCTCCTAGAATTTTTTTCAGACTTGTCCTGCTCTACGGCTATCTATAAAATAGAAAAAAGTGCGGGTGAAGATAAAAAACCAGTAACGTTAAAGGTATTTTCTTTAGGAGTATAAAGTAACAGTAAGTATATAGGAAATTTGACGGGACATTCGTTATATTTGTAACATTGTTTATATTTGGGCGTTCGTTATAGCGGTTTCGGCTGTATCTGCAGACTCTGAAATGGAATTGTCAGTTGTGTATGACATAAAGAAGGAGAAAAAACAAAGAAATGTATAATTTTGTTCCTTTATTCTTATCAGTAAAAGAGAGAAACATTTAAACTTGTGGAATTTTCCCTAGAAACACTGGAAAAGTTTTTAGACTATTTTGGACCTAATTCTACTTTTGATTTCCTCTCATAATGTATGAGGTATTAACTAGCAATGCTAAGAGGTATATAGTTACTTATACGTAGAGAGTTGCTTCCGTTAGGTTGGTTTAGTTTATTTGAATTTGGCAAAGCACTCGAGGGGTATCTGCCTAAAGGGAGGGATGCCTTCATGGAGGTCTTTCTAAGGAAAATAGCTCCTTTCCACTTTACATTAGAAGTCAAGTTCTCGTTTTCACCTTTTTTAGATGTCAGTAAATACCAAGTTAAAAAGTTGCTGGATTTAAGAGGTACAATCTGTAGTACGAATAAGTTTTAATTAAATCAATGCTTCTGCGTGCTCTTGGAATCCTAAGTATTTGCATTTTTTAAAGTATTATTTAATTGCAGGGATTCTTAAACTTCACTTACGATTTATGGACCAGCCAAAATTCAGACTCTGTAAGAAAGGAAATACGATTATATAACATAACCGTCCCCTGCAAATCATGGGCTTTAAAATTAGAAAGTGTATTCGAAAGTGATTCTAAACGGTACTTTGAAGTTCTATTTACAAGAGCAGTGATGTTCCCTAAAGAGAAAGAAATTTCAGATTATGTAAGTATAATAGTTTCCTACATATATATATCTTTTGTAAATGAGTAAGTAATTTATGAATCTGATCGTGAATGAATGGTTAAATAATGAAAGCATGAATTTTGCAAACATTTTATGTTAATGATCTAATAGACGAAGAATATAAGGTTTTCTATTACTTTCTCCGCATTTTTCGATTGCCATTTTCTCATTTTTGTTTAATTTTTCGACTTTAGTAGACATGCGCGATCAACTTTCTTAAGATAAAAATTAAGATGGTAATGCAATAAATAGTGCTTAAGTAGATTTAGGCTATTTGGAAAAAAAAAAAATCTGATGTGTACACCACATGACTTCCTTCTATTGGAATATTAAATTATACGCATTTTTTCTTGCATTTCATTTAAACATGGATTGAATTAAATCTACTTCGCCGACAGCGCATAAACCACAATAGAATAAATGCATTCTTTAAAATTCACTCTAGTATTTGTTTACCATAGCGACACTCTGGCGCTAGATTGACTTAACAGTATTAATAATTATATAACAGTTAACTTATATAATAATTATATAACGGAAACTAAGTTAACTGTTATATAATCCAATAATTATATAACAGTTAACGTATATATTTCGTTCATATTATAACTCATGATGCACAAAATTTATATTTAGTTATATTATATTAGCATTTAAAGAATAGAATTATGTAATCGTGGCCACATGTTCTATTCAAATACTATCATAAAGCTAGAACGATGTATAAAAGAAATTAATCAAACAAAACAAAAAAGAAACAGTTTTTTTGAGACTGAGTATTTCTCATTTAATTAATTCAATTCTCACTTCGCGAGAACGCAAAAATACATAAAAACTCAAAATATCTATATTAAAATTACGAAGTAAATCTCAAACGCTTATTTCCTCGAAAAAATTCCAGAAAGAATTAAGCATGGTTTAATTGGCAATAATAAATGAATGCGTTATCTTTGTTGTTGCAAAGCTAAGTTTCTCTAGATTGGCAACAAATCCACTAGTCTCCTGTTTGAAATGTAAACATCAATGGCCGAAATTAAAAACAGGCTTAGCGGCAATTAAACAACTTTAAAATTGCTGATAATTCTAAAAATATTGCACACAGATTTACTAAAGGCATAAAATCTTTAACCGGAAGATAAAAACAACATTTTTAAAGCAAAAAATGTACAATTTACAAACATATAAGAGTAAAGAAACTGAGATCACTGAACCGGGTAACAGAGTGCATATACTCGTATATATATAAATATATTTATATACGTTTGGTGCGTCCGATCGCAACCAAAATACGAGGTGCACATCTACATGTTATAGCAGTCCTACAAAATTTCAACGTTTTGAGGCTACTCGTTTTTGAGTTATGCGAGATACGTACGTACGCACGAACGTACGTACATACGTTCGTACAGACGCCACGAAAAATTCTCTTCAGAATTAATTTTAAAGCAGTTTTATAATTTTTTTGAAGGAAGAGAGTGTTTTATTCTGTCCTTACGTACGAATATATATATTTAGGATAAGCACTTTCAAATAATAAAGATGTACTTTTCCTCACCCTTATTGTCTAAGATGAACGTCAAGGAACCTGGTGAATTGTGTAGCACCTTATCGCCGAGTTCAAACAACTAAAACGTAGACTCGAGAAGGTTTTAAATACCCTTATTTTACTCAAATAAGAATAATAGTCGGCCCCTTTCTCAGGCTTAGAACGAACCCTCTACTCGAGCTTTAATTCAGAATTAGTAATGAGAAACTAAACTCTAACTAACTAAAGGAAACTTAACCAAAGCTAAAGACAAGTATCTAACGTAGTTGGCCCTTAATTTAAACTAGCCGGCGAATATTAAAAGGCACGTAATAGTACGTTCGAGCGTTACAGCTTCAAGAGTGTCTTAGCCCGAAGGCAAACACGCGCTACTACGGATTCCTAGCACTCTCTAACGAGTTAAGTTGCACCTTCCTTAAATAGTACTTCTTTTAACACATTTGATTCAGCGCGATTCTAAAAACTCATTCTGGTAGGGATTTGTAAATGGAAATAAGAGTTGATAGGAAAGTTTCCAGATTAAAATAACTGTTATAAAATTAAAATATACCTTACAAAGATACTATTTCTTTATTTCTTAATTAAATAAGATACTTTTAAAAAAAGCATCTTATTTAATTAAGAAATAAAGAAATAATAATAAAGAAATAATTTAATAATAATAAAGAAATTTAATTTGCAAGGTTTTAGAGTAATAAAGTTTTAAATAATAAACACAATTCATAAGAAAAGAATATTCTTATGAATTGTGTTCATTATTAAAAAGTAATAAATACAGTTCATAAGGATATTCTTTTCTACTTTTTAATGTGAATCATTTAAACAAATATGTATCAAAATCATGAGAAGTCTAATTAGAAATATTCAATACTTTTATGAATTTCTACTAGTTGGACACATTAAAATCATAATATACATTTTCTTTTTTTACGATAACTATTTTATGCGGCTGGCAGCGCAAGTAGCTAGTTTCTAAAGAAATAATATAGGTAATATGCACGGCAACTTCTAGCACTTTAACGAAAATTCTACAGAAATGCTTTTTATCAATATTTTGAATATCTCATAATTGTGCTGTTGAATTTAACATTATGTGGCATAAATGCGAAGAACGTAATATTTAATAAATGATGATAATTACATAAAAAGTGAATAGTAAAAAGACGAAAAAAAATTTTCCCTAGCCATCTTACTAAGAAAACTGAATATTGACATGATAAATTGAGAAAAGATTTTAAAAAAATATTAAAATTTATGCTGACATGGAGCCACAACATCGAGATTTCCAAACATATGCTGCTATGCAGCTTTTAAAAATTTTGTGATTTTGTTGCTGAACTGTATGTAGGGTAAGTGTGAAGAAAACGATGCTTAAGAATACAGCTAAAAAGAAGGAAAAAAAGGTGCGTTAGCAGAAATGAGTGCGAGAGCAGACTGGTAGACTGCGAGCTCAGCGAAAGCATAAAAGTCCTTAACAAACTCTTTTGAGCGGCCGTTAAAATCTGCAATCTTTAAATTTTTATTTTTATTTATTTATTTATTTATTAGCCCAAACGGGCGCTGCTCTGAAGGGCTATTAGTCTCGAAACGGCATTTTGTGTTGAATCACTATAAAATGGCTATATCACTTTTCAAACGCACTGTATTATATTTAATGAAATTCAGTAATGAAGAATCTGCAGGAATATACGTATGTTTCTAGCACTGTGAAAAAATAACGATACCTAAAGCCATCAAATTCTGAATAGCGTAGTCCTCCACCCGAATATGGGCACCTGGAAGACCTAATCCTAAATTTTGAATTTGTTTTATTATCTATTTCATATTTTTTAAACTTTAAACTTTTTTTCATTAAGAAATTCAACGATTTCAAAGCGAGCAGTGGCGATACTCTGTACTCAATAAAATATTTTTATCTACAGCGTGCGAGACTGTGTGTCGGAAATTCTAAAGAAATGCTGTTAAATGCTCTTGAAACGTGCATGTATGTATGAATGGGAAAAAAATACCCCTTTCGGCGTAATATAAAATTTGAAAGCTTTTAGATTTATTTATTTATTTTAGATCGGTTGGTGGAATGATGATGTGATCGAGGATTACAATCTCAAAGAGCGTAAATTAAAGCTGTCGGCAGATATGGATATGCATGTAATAAGTGGCGAAGATTTAGTTGAAAGGTATTCGACATTAACGAAGAACGATGTGAGTAACCTCAACAACCGATTAATAACGGCAAACATTGCTTTATATTATCCTTTGCAAGATCAAGAAGAGTCGGTGACATTTGACGGTTATTTTATTTTGTCTGGAGCACCAAGAATATTCAGGTATGTGTTATTTCATTACACTTTACATTTTTATTTTAACATACAATAAGAATATTGATCTTCAGCCATCATTATATAAATTTAGCTATAAAATATAAACCGCTCCACATGTAATGTACTTATATTAAAAAAGCCGTCATTACTTGGCACGTATTAACGCAACCACATCGGCACAAATGGCGATTTTTTTAACTAAAAATTACACATTGTATTATGTTTTACACAAAGTAGCGCGGGAAACCTAAAACCTGCTTTTTCGGGTGAAATAGTATGCGTGTTCCCCGTCTCTATAATTACGGGTAAGTTGAAAAATAAGTTTCCCCTGTCGACTGTGGTCAGAGTTGTGTATAAAAGTCAAAAAATAGAATGAGACATTAAAGATATGACATACCTTTATTTTTCCACATAGGTACCAAGTACATTGAGACATTTGTCATATCGCTTGATAAGCTACAAAAAGCCCTCCAGGAAAAATCAGGGCTTTGCATATAGAAGAAGCGTTGAACGACTATGGGCGAAAGGCGACACAGCAGGAAAACGCGCAAGTCACCGATACACCATTGGGTAGAGGTCGCTGCAAATCAAGCAGATGGCGCTGTTGCAGTGCCTGCGCAAAGCGGAGACCAGCCTCTCATTTGAACCCCGGTAGGTATGGAGAGAAGGAGCGTTTTGAATTCGTGGTCAAAGGAGGAAGTGAGAGCGGTTATCCGCTATGAATGGGCACGTGGAGTATCAGGAACAGAAATTCATAACCGCCTCCTGAAAGTCTATGGGACAGGTGTGATGTCGAAGCAAATGGTGCGGAGATGGTGTCGCACATTCAGTGATGGACGTCAGCAAGTGGAGGACATAACGAGAGCTGGACGGACGCGCACGGCCACTACAGATGCAAATGTCAGGAAGGTGGATGACATGATTAGAGCGAACCGGCGTATCACCATCGATGAAGTAGCGGAAGAACTTGGAATCTCGCATAAGCGAGCTCAAAACATCATCCACGACATTCTTCGATACAGAAAAGTGTCAGCACGATGGGTGCCCCGACAATTGACCTCGACACACAAGGAACAACGCATGGGGGTCAGCCTGCAACATCTCGTGCGTTACCATGAAGATGGCAATGACTTTCTGTTTCGGACTGTGACGGGGGATGAAACGTGGGTCCACCATTTCACGCCAGAATCGAAGGCCGCATCTATGGAGTGGAAACATCCGTCATCCCTGTCCGAAAGAAGTTCAAGACAACTCCCTCTGCAGGTAAAGTGCTCCTCACAGTTTTGTTGCTGGACTTTTTGGGGGCTGGAACCATCAATGCTACGCGCTACTGTGACACCCTGTCGAAATTGAAAGAGGCGATTCGGAAAAAGCGGCCTGGCCTTCTCACATCTGGCATTCTGCTGTTGGCTGTTGGATGACAATGCCAGACGACATTCGGCGACGGCAACGCAAAACCATATTGCAACTCTTGGTTGGGAGCGCCTACACCATCCGCCATACAGTCCTAATCTCGCACCAAGCGACTTCCATCTGTTTCCGGCTTTGAAGAAAAATCTCGGGGGAAGGCGCTTTGGAAGCAATACTGAAGTGAAGCAAGCCGTTCAACGCTTCTTCCATATGCAAAGCCCTGATTTTTTCCTGGAGGGCTTTTTCAAGCTTATCAAGCGATATGACAAATGTCTCAATGTACTTGGTACCTATGTGGAAAAATAAAGGTATGTCATATCTTTAATGTCTCATTCTATTTTTTGACTTTCATACACAACTCTGACCACAGTCGACAAGGGAAACTTATTTTTCAACTTACCTAGGTATCTACCTGTACTTACAGGGATTCGAAACACAAAACCGATATAATGTTTCATTTATAAATTAATGTTGTTCTAATAATGAAAATAAATAGTAGTAAATATTGCAGTTTCTCACTAAGTTACATTACATTCAGCAATTTACAAATTTGACTTCCACAAAATTCAAGTTGCGTAACGATATACGGAATGCGTTACTTACATAACTCAGGGCATTAATATAACTTTGAAATTAATATAGTACCTCGGTATGTCATTAATGCGTCCCATACCCCTGAACGTAAACTATTCCTATATTCTTATCGGAACAGCTAGTTTTGATTTACGTTAAATTGAAAATTTACATAAATTGAAAATGATTAACAGATTCTTATAAAAAATTCCTGTTGATATTGTTGCGTTTCTGTACGGGTTGTTACATTTTTCTTATGTACGGGTTCGTGGATTTGAAGTGAATAACGAGAACAGCACTTGATGAAGTATTAAAACGCAATTTATCAGACAGTATTACTCAGGAGAACTCCAAAAGCGCGTTTACACAGTCGTCGAAAAACTACGACAAATACGCTGAAACAATCAGCAACACAAACTTCCGGCTATCAAGCTATAACGATGAAGGCAGCTTCACGGCAGAGCACTAGAGTACAGCTCCCGACTCTGTTCGGTCGTTCTCGGGATTCAACGTACTCTCGAGACTGTCCACATTACAACTCGCGATGTATTCGACGTTAAGCACTAGAGTACAGCTCCCGACTCGCTTCGGTCGTTCTCGCAGCTCAACACACGATACATATATTAAAGCTTACGATACATTAAACAAATCTTTGAAGTCGCAAAATTAGCATAAGAAAATGATGGATGTCGCAAAAATTTCGCAAATATTAAAATTTTAGCAGCACAAGTTTGTCAAAAGTCGTAAATTTGCGAAACATCGCACGATCTGGCAACACTGCTGTGAACTGCAAACAGTTCTTATTTTGTTAGAGCAAGATATTTTTCACAAAATAAAGCAAGGGTACATAAAAATGTAGTTAATAGTTAAATGTAGGCTAAATTATTACACTTTCGTATATTAATAATCTGGTCTATATTTAAAGCAGAGATATAAGAAAATCGTTTCACAAAAATTTATCTTGTTGCTAAGTAAAAATAAAAATGAATGTACTATTTGATATGCATAATTTTACAGACATTTCTATCTGCGATGCTACTAATTATTAATAATAGTTACTAATAATAGAATAACATTTTCTAGGTTCCAGAAAAACTTTGTTATGGGAAGCAGCTACAATGATTTAACACTGACATCCCATTCTGTCTTTAGAGAAGAATCCAGTGAGGCGACATTGAGCCATTCCTCCTTCTTTACAAACACGGTAACTCAGAAAAAGGCCTACAATATTATTGACTACAAGAGATCCTATACCGCAGAAAAATGCATTGAAAGAGAATTTAAGCACAATATTAAATCTGAAGTATTTGATTTATCCACGAATGCTTCTTACAAGTGCAATTCAAATGCAGAAAATGCGCATACATTACTTTTAAATATTACAACACTGTCTTCCTACTGGAACCTCTTAAATACAAGATTAGAACGTAAGTATTGTTACATATTATGTAAACTATCTTAAATATTTTATAAAGAGTATGAATAGATATATAATAATGTAATTAATAAAAAGCGATGGAAATGATTAAACTTATTATGTACTTGCTTTTAAGTTAATCTAATGGCAAAGTTATATTTATGTATTTAGTCAATAAATATTAAAATTTATCAAATATGAAGGTTTTAACCGCTAAAGGCGAACCTTCCGACTAAATTTTGTTCGAACGTTTTAAGATAAACTGGCTCGTGTCTGCGTTATACATGGAGGAAGCCCCCCCCCCGACATGCCCATGCATTCGGACCCGGGCTCTTCGATACAGCAGTACTTAATGCTCGTTGTATGAAACAACTATTGCAATTCTATCACTCAAGTGTGACTTTGTTAAAAATTGTGTACAAGTCTCAGCATTAGCTTTTTTCCGCAATCAGAAGAAGTCTGATGTCATTCGACTCCCATTTCATTTGCAACAACCCAATATTTCACTGCCTTATCGAAATTTGTTTCTCAATGTTACCCCAATTTACCATCTACACTTCGAAATAAAGTTTCAAATTGTTGACATTTTGCTTGGATTGATGACTGTTTACCAGTTACTCATACATGTTTACATATACGATACCAAATAATTTAAAATTAGTTTAAATTGTATGAATTATTGATTTTTTATGTATATTTTCTGCCATCTGTTTCGGTTATCTCAGTATTCAGTGTAAAATCCACATGAATATGACAATTCTTTTACTTTATATTTTATTACTTTTGTTATATTGCACATATAAGTTCCTATACTAATTAGACCACTCTAAAACTTTGTAATTGTAAATTTCTGCCTTTCTTAGTTTGCTTTTGAAATAAGAATTTTAACTGGTTCCATTTTTCACCAGAAACTCTATGAAAGTTTTAAATCGGCAATGTTGAGTCGCTTTACTTTTATTAGGATATTCATCTGCAACTCTAGAACACTTTAGTAAGAAATTAAAGGAATGTATACATGTAAAGATCGTGACTTGTAAAGATCATGACTTGTGAAGATCGTGACTTAAAGAGAACGTGAAATATAAATAATAGGACAAGAACTTGCATTTTACGGTGTGGCAACAAGAAGAGGATTCGAAAGATTTTTATATATATTTTTGTTTAGAGAGTTGAATGTTTTTAATTTTTGAATAGTTGTAAGAGTTTTAACTGCAGTAATTAAGAGTTTAAAATTTTGATAGTTTAGAACTGCAGTATTTATTTTTTTTGGTTCTGTTTTAAAATTTAAATAAAGGTATTTTGTTTATTCTGAAAAATTAGCTTTATTCTTCCTACAAGATTCAATATTCATTATATTGAAATAAGGAAAGGATTTTTACTGGCGCAGTCGACAGGATCGGAGTTTCCCCCCGCATATAATTACGAACCAAAATAACTCAGGTGAGAGCTCAATTTACCTTGGAAAACGTAAAATAGTTAATTAAGATTATGAAAAGTTAATTATTGTTTCCGTCATGGAATCTTAGTTTATTTACTTGTCAAAGTAATGAATACGCCAGTGTTCAAATGTAATTTTCAAAGTAATGAATACGCCAGTGTTCAAATGTAATTTTCAAAGTAATGAATACGCCAGTGTTCAAATTAATTTTCAAGTAATGAATACGCCATGTTCAATGTAATTTTCAAAGTAATGAATACGCCAGTGTTCAAATGTAATTTTCGTAATGAATACGCCAAGTGTTCAAATGTAATTTTCAAAGTAATGAATACGCCAGTGTTCAAATGTAATTTCGTTTGACTCGCCAGAGTAGGTGAACAACACATTAAGTATTGATTCTACTGATTGATTTTCGTGTCGAATAAATTAAATTCATTGTGAATTATATTTAAATAGAAAAAGAAAAGAAAAAAAATAGCTTTTCATAAAACTAAGAGTCTATTGGCTGAATAAAATCGAGACATGGCTTTTATGGGACGTGGGAAAAAAGAGGATTTGCTGGCTTTAGCTGCTGAATTAGAAATTCAAGTAGATCCAAGTATGAAAATCGTGGCGATAAAAAATGAAATAATTCAAAGTGATACATATGATGAAGCATTTGCTAAAGAAGTGTTTTTAACGATTATTGAAGAGAGGAAAAGAAAAGAAGAGGAACAGCGAAGAAAGGAGAAAGAAGAGATTGAGGAACACCGAAGAAAGGAAAAAGAAGAGATTGAGGAAAGACGAAGGAAAGAAGAATTAGAAGCACAGCAGAAAAGAGAGCAAATGGAATTTGAATTGAGGAAACTCGAAATTGAATCTCGTGTTCGACTAACACAAACTCCACCCAACAAATGAAAATGGACATCATAATTTTGATTTAATTAAGCTTATTCCCAAATTCAATTTAAGACACGATGATATTGTGATTTATTTATCCTTATTTGAAAGACAAGCTAAAAGGACAAAGATTGATCCTAAAGATTGGGTTTCATGTTTATTGACTTTAATGCCATCTGAAATCATTCAATTAATTGGTAGGGAATCTGAAGAAAATTTTGAAGATTATGAGTACATTAAGGCCATTTTATTGAAGAGATTTAAATTAAATCCTGAAGCTTTAGAAAAAAATTTGTGATGCACCAAAAGAGCGCTGAAAAATCATGGAGAGATTTTTGCTACGAAATTACAAGTTATTTTGAAGAATGGATCAATGGTCTTGAAATCACACAAATTTTGCCGCGTTAAAAGACTTGATTATTACTGACCAAATTAAGAAAAGAGTACCCTATGAAGTAAGAGACCATCTTCTTGACGACTGGGCGAAATTCGTTTCTCCAACCAAATTAGCTGATAAACTTGACGAATATGACAGTGTTCATAATATCTCAAAACAGAATGGTGGTAATCCATCAGCAGACAGAACTAATAAAAATGGCAACCTCGTTCTCCACTTCCAGAAAGAGCTTTCAGAAATAAATCGCTGTACGCTGAAAACACGCCAAGAGTGGTACCCATCCCGTAAAGTGACGAACCACAAAAGACTAATTTCAAATTAACTTGCTATAATTGTGGAAAAGAAGGTCATACATCTAAGTTATGTACTAAAAATCGGATACCAAGAAGTGCTTCTGCAACAGCACAAAACAACTTAATACAAACACAAGCACCCCTAGCAGAAAAAGAAAAACCAGAAGTGCTAACTGCCAAGATCTCTATTCCTGTCTCAAAATCAGTGGACGTATCTAGAAACATAGATGAATTAAAACTGGTCAAAGTTAAATGTGGAGATATTATTCTAAATGGAATCGTAGACACGGGAGCACAAATTTCAGTAGTCCGTGAGAAATTGGTTGACAACATACCTTGCGAAGGAGAAAGTAAAATAGAGATATCTTCTGCTTTTGGTGAAAACGAAAATTACTCCACTAAAGATTTTCCAGATGAAAATTGACGATGATTTTCACGGTAGAGTGTCCATTACGTGTGCTGTTTCAAAAAGCTAGTTACCGACTTGCTATTGAGTTCTTCAGCTTATGAAACACTCTGTGGAAATATCGAACTGTGGAACTGTGATCGTCATTGGGATGCATCCCCCTTAGAGTACAAAGAGACAGATGATAAACCCTCACCAGTTGAAGACATTACTACAAATTTGGCTGTTGTTAATCAGATTTCCCAAGAAAACATAGAGTCTCTGAAAACAACGAACAAGGTAAGACTAGAATTCAAGACACATCAAGAACAAGACGAAACTCTGAAAAAATGCTTTGAATGGGCAAATAAAAATCAAAATTCATATACTTTCGATGATGGCATATTACTTCATTCCGAATATATCTGTGGTGAAAACATTAAGCAAGTTGTATTACCTTTAGAAAAAAGAAGGGAAGTCCTAAGAATGGCACATGAAATCCCTCTTGCCGGCCACCTCGGTGAGAAAAAGACAATTCAACGAATCAAGTACTCATTCTTTTGGCCTACTATTAAGCAAGATGTTAAAAAATTCTGTGGAAGTTGTAAAGAACTGCCCTTTACAGAAATGGAGAAAACAGAAATGATAGAAGATAAAATTGTTGAACAGGAAGCACAGAAGGAAGAAATTATAACAGGAGAAACTAAGAGGGTAGAAACAGAAGATGAACTCAAAGAGGAAAAGTTAATTGACAGCAAAATAACAGATGTAGAAATTATTCCACCTGAAAGTAAAAACGAATTTATGGGTGAGACTGAAATCCCAGTTGAAAAAGAAACTGTCAATGAAAGTGAAACTCAAGTGAAGCCAATAACCAAAACAGAAAATACAGATGATGCTGAAACTGCAGCTGAAAAAGAAATAATTGCAGATGACAATGAAACTCAAGTAAATCTTGATTATGAGAACATAGAAGAGAAAGAATATATTGCTGAAATTGGAAACGAGAAGGAAAAAGTAGATGATAAAAAGAATGACTTAATAATCCATAAGGAAAGTATGAAAGCTGACTTAGTAACTGAAAATGAAAATGTAAATCACACAGAAGCTGCAGATCTTGAAACTGAAAATAAACTTGCAGATAACAGTGAACTATTACAATTTACTGAAAAAGAAATTCTGGATGATAACAGAAACAAAAGTACAATAAGGACAGCATAGATACTGTTGAACTGGAGATGAAAAAGAAAGTGTGGATTATACAACAAAAGTTGAAACTGAAAAGGAAAATGTCATCCACAATGAAACTGAAAACCACAGAAACCTTTCAAGTTCAAGGGTGAAAACATGGAAGATTGAACAGAAAGTTATTCGGATGAAAGCGAAGAACTGGAAGACGAGAAAGAAACGGAAGGAATTGCTGAATTAATAGAAGAGCCCGAGTCCGAGGTAGACGATCTACACATCATGTTGATGAAGAATTATTAGAAAAAGCAGAAGAAAAAATTGCTGAGATTTTTTTTTAGTTTATAGGACTTTCACCAAGCACAGAAATCCCATATTTGAAGAAAATTGATAAAGCTGAAACAATTGATGAATGGTATGAGCTACTTGACAAAGCCATTGGAAAGATAGAAGAGAAGAGAAAATGATAAGGAACAACAGCTACTAGGATTGCCTACCATAGGTGAGAATGATAATGAAGATAAGCCATTTACAAAAGAAATGCCCATAGCATTTTTCAGCAAGAAAACTAACGCCCTGTCAACAACGATGGTCCAACCTTCGAACGAGAAGCAGTTTGTGTCATCGAAGCCTTGAAAAAATTTGACACATGGATTTTCGGTGCCAAAGTGCAGATTGTGCCTGATCACAATCGCCTCACCTACTTGACCCAAAGCGCCCCTCATGAAGCTAAACTGTCTCGTTGGGCCTTAGCGTTACAACGGTATAACATGACTGTGACATACCGCAAAGGAAGTTCACATGGGAATGCTGATGCTTTGTCAAGGTTAGCTGTTAACTCTTTCTCTCTCAATGAACTCTGAGCAACATTGTCTCTACGGTGACGAATGTGCTTCTTGTGGGGGGACTTGTAAAGATCGTGACTTGTAAAGATCATGACTTGTGAAGATCGTGACTTAAAGAGAACGTGAAATATAAATAATAGGACAAGAACTTGCATTTTACGGTGTGGCAACAAGAAGAGGATTCGAAAGATTTTTATATATTTTTTGTTTAGAGAGTTGAATGTTTTTAATTTTTGAATAGTTGTAAGAGTTTTAACTGCAGTAGTTAAAAGTTTAAAATTTTGATAGTTTAGAGCTGCAGTATTTATTTTTTTTGGTTCTGTTTTAAAATTTAAATAAAGGTATTTTGTTTATTCTGAAAAATTAGCTTTATTCTTCCTACAAGATTCAATATTCATTATATTGAAATAAGGAAAGGATTTTTACTATACATAAGAACTGAAGTGAAGTTGTCGTAATTTAATATATTTGTTATGTATCATTGAGAATATTGCTGCTTATTTTATACCCATTTGTTTGACAGTTCTGTCATACGGTGCTCTTTACTTTTATTTCATATGTTTAAAATAAAGTTCTGCTACGACTAAATCTATTTCGATAACAAATATGACTAAATTACCCTAATTTGAAATCAACTGTCATATTTAAAATATTCATCTCTTAACAGAAATAGTCGAAGATGTCAACTCAGAATATAGTTATGAAGAGATGAATTTTAGGCATCCCTTGGCAACAATAAATGTTACAGCGGAATGGCTGAAAGGTGACCACAAAAAGAAAGTTATTTTCACCTGTTTGGTAAGAACCTTTTAAGGATAATATTCTAAATTCTAAAGGTTTCGTGTAACTGATTGAATACTTTGAATACTTTATTATTCTTTAGTAATTACTGTTAGTTTACTTAAAATAATTGTATGGATAAAAAATGTATAAATGTATATATATATTCTCTGTATATATATATAATTAAACTTAGGAGATAATATAATCAATTAATCAATATTGTTTAGGAAATAAATTATTATATATATATGTGGGAAATGTTATGTTATGATATTCCCTAATCCCCTACTGTGTGACGTATGCATTGCGTCAGCATGTGTTTCCCGCCTTCGGGAGAAGACGAGGATTAGCTGGCGAGCGGAGGAGACGTCGCTCGATCGCTCGTATACCATTTTCATTAACTGTAATCCTAACGTAATCTATATTTGTAAATAGTAATAAATGTGTGTTATCAACTATGGTCGTTGCCTTTCCCCACATTTTGGGGGCTCGGCCGTGCCTTTTGTGCAATGCGTAATCGAACCCTAGACACCAGCAATTACTAAAGACGTTCAAAAAGCTAACAAAGGCAAGACGGGCCTTTATGACGATTTAATATTCTTCTTCAAGCCAGATGACGTATGTGAATGAAGACGTGCCTTTATGACGATTTCATATTCTTCAAGCTGGACGACATATGTGAATGATGTTACATGCGAATGCAGGAAATGTTATGTCATGATATTCCCTAATTCCCTACTGTGTGACGTATGCATTGCGTCAGCATGTGTTTCCCGCCTTCGGGAGAAGACGAGGATTAGCTGGCGAGCGGAGCAGACGTCGCTCGATCGCTCGTATACCATTTTCATTAACTGTAATCCTAATGTAATCTATATTTGTAAATATTAATAAATGTGTGTTATCAACTATGGTCGTTGTCTTTCCCCACACACACACATATATATATATACTCTCTTATGCAAACAAAAGCACCCTTAAAAAAATCCGATCATCTCAAAATTTTGAATGCAAATTCCTTCATACTAAGGATGTAAATGATTAAATTTTCAAGGCCAATAAGTGCTACCTTATATCAAGTGTAGTTGGCAGTGTAGTTAGTAGTTGGGAAGTAGAAGCACTTGATTATATCAAGTGCTTCTACTGCCCAACTAGCTTCGTATAAAACAGGTAACAGTTACAAACGGTTTACCTTTTTTCGTTGTTGATACTGCAGTTCCCTGAAGACACAACCAATAATGCCGTTTGGAAGATGTCCGAGACTTTTACAGACAATTGGAGGACTCACATAGTAGAGATGCGAGAAGCGGGCTGATCATAATGAACAACAGGTCGCCACCTGCACAGTACGGATATGGCTATATGCTGGAATTAATGATTAGTGAAAGGTATTCATCAGCGGAATCAATGTTTTGGAAGGCTTTCGCACGAATGCGAGACGAGCACGAAAGATTTTGAGACAGGCCCTAACTGTTCCAATAACATATCCAATGTGCTACAGCCTCTTCCAAACCAAAAAACGCGGGGCACTTTACCCCATCTCACGTCTCTTGGATGAAGCGGGGTTGCTCTTACAAGGGCCTTAAGACGTTTGTTCTCAACCCTTCGACATCGACAGATTGTCTGGAATGGTGCTGTAGCCGATCATTATGGCTGCCAGCCGATTGGCATTCCATAGTGTTTAGCGATGAATACCACTTCAGTCTTGTATCAGATGACCAGTGGATCCGTGTTTAGAGTTGACATGGTCAGCAGTCCTTTTAGCCTTTTTTACAGAGACATACAGCCATTACCCGTGATTTGATGGTATGGATTGCTATCTCTTACGAGAGCAGGTTCACCCTAGTCATCCTGCTTATAATTTAGCAGCTCAACAATATGTTGATGACATTCTGAGGCCGTTTGCGTTACCCTTTGTGACGCATCATCCTTGAGCTATTTTCGAACAAGATAATAGTAGACCCCCTACAGTCCCATATCTGGATTGTATCCGAGTTGTTTATACTCTTCGTCGGTTGGCCAGAAAGGTCGCCAATTATTTCGCCAGTTGACACGTATGAGCTATGATAGGAAACTGGATTCGGGCGAGCTAAAATATGGCAGATCTGGAATAACAATTGAGAAATGTTTAGCAGAATGTATTACAGGATCTTTAACAATTCCTTACTTCAACATTAAAAAACATGCATCTCCGCAAGTGGGGGGGTCACCAGTTGCTGATTTGAATATTCATTGTGCAGTTACTATCCACTGATGGGTCCTTGGGCTTTCAAAAAACAGTCACTTTGTTAATGCTTTTTTTAATTATTTTAATTAATTTTTTAAGAATGTTATATAATACTCATGGGATGCAAGACTCGCACAACTCGAAAAATACGAGTTTTGAGCTATGACCGTTTAAAAGTGTAAAATTGTCTTTTTTTCGCAGCAGCAGACACATATTTTAATTCCGTACCGCGCTAACAGATGGCATTAGCGTCTCTGTTGCATTCTTTGGTTTTTGACTTACATTAGCCGCAATACTGACATTTCTCAGTTTGTTCCAGACTTTACTAATGTAAAGGATTTCACAAATCAGACATGTCAAAATTTTACTATAAATACTAACAATGAAACTGTACATTTAAACGACTTTTTGTACTGAAAGTAGAAAGCCAATCACTGGATTACTTCTATAAGACTTTTCTTACAGGAACAAAGATTAAAACTATTGATGCGAAAGCCCTCCAGATGCAAGAAAACTATGCATTGAAGAAAATGTTTGACGATATATAGATTTTAATCGCCAGTGGATCCGTGACTGGTATTCAGCATTTTACCGCAGTCTAAAATTTCAATCATAAAAAGTAGTTTCTATTTTTAAATATGTGTAAATATAGGGAAATTGTTCACTTTCTTCCCTTTGAAACATTAAGGAAGGCACTTATCACAGTTTATTAACATTATTAATAAAACTTAATTACTTGCCGTAATTTTGTTATTATAAGCTTTGATTTTCCAGTATAGTTCAACATGTTGTTAAAGAAAGGAAAACAATAACACAAAATTTACTATTAAATAATGTTAATTTTTTGACATTTCATAATTATTATTAGTAACAGAATTTCTGTGACGCCTTTTAGTAATGCTTACTTCTTAGTCTATCAATTAAACCTGTGATTTCTGTATTCGCAAACTAAGGAAAGCTTTAAACATGTTATAGGGTTAAAGTTAAATTGAGTGTCCTTAGGAACTAGAAACCTGAGAAATGTGTAGCGACTATTCACTGGTCTTCGAAAAACTATAAGACCAAAGTTCAAAGAAAGGTTAAAATACTCTTTTATTTAACTCAGAGAATATTTTATAGTTGGCCTTACAGGAAGCCTTCATTTCGGCTTGAACTTAAGGTAGAAAATAAGAAACTAAACTAATTCTAACTAAAACTTAGCCGAAGCTGTATAAAAGTAACTAACCGAGTTGGTCTTTATTTCAAACGGCACCGGTGAATATTAACAGGCACATTATAATATGTAACCGAACGTAGTATGATTGGTTTAAAGCAACGACATGGCTAGAAGGCAGAGCACGTTGTACTGAGAACTTGTGCTCTTCTATGGAAGTGACTGAAACTTCCCATTAAATACTGGTTCTTCCTCATTTACATAAAACACAATACTGAAAACTCATTCTAGCAAGCAATTTTAAGTGGGAAACAAGAGAATAAAGGAAAGAGTTTCAAAATTAAAAATAACTATCAGGAAATTAAAGTAATCCCTACAATGTTTATCTCAAAATTTTATTTTTCGAGATTGGCCAGTATTGCAGCCCATGCACAATATATATTAGTCAAAGCGTGCAATTAACTACAGATGTTGATGCTTTTTATTTCTTTAAATACTATTATGGACTGAAAAAACAAAAAGAAAAGTAATAAATTAATCATATTTTATCAGATCAAGAGTTTAGTCTTTAACAACTATCAAAAATTCTTCGAGAACGTTAAATCCATTGCAGTTCATTTCATTAATACCCATTGAAAGTAATTCTTATTCCCTTCAATTCAAAATTATAGTATAATATGAGGATTACATGTTTTTGTGCTATTAAGAGTTTATGTAAAAGAATATGTTAAACCCACAGAGGTTGAAAGAAGATGCAAGTCTCAGCTATTATCCTGCTATCTTTCTTTTAGCGTGTCTCTTCCAGTGCCTCGTCACAAAAAGCTAGTTCCTCAATGATCGTGATATCTCCTTTTAGTCTTCCCTACCTACCCAGATGACAATAAAAATCATGTTACTTCAAATTTTTCTTCGCATCTGCAAGTATTCAGAAAGAGAACAATGTTAATTCAGGTTTTTGTTTTTTCTCTGTTTCTTTGCTTCACGCTATTGGGGGGGGGGACATTTAGAACGAGAACAAGTATTTTTAGGAAGAGGTTGGATAAAATGATAACACATGCTTTACCCTATGTTATTATTCCATATTTTTTTCCTCATTTTGTAAAGTGCTTTTCTTTGAACTCTTGCTTCCCCTCCAAATGTTTATCCACCAACTAAAACCGGAAACCACGGAAAAAATAAAAGATAAACTTTCTTCATTTATTTCAGCTCCGAAAATTAGATGAAGTAAGATATAAAAGATTCCAAAACAAGTTATTAAATTACACATAATTTACCGTTGAATTGCACCTGTTTAACCACTTTTGTTTAGACGAATTTTCGCCTTCGAACCTAACAGAAGTCTAATTCTTCAGAACCCAGACGTAACGTAAATCTTAACCGAAAAGTTTATAAAACGCTTTGTCTTGTAGTACAACTCAAATTTAACAAGTACTAACCACCGCTACTTACAGAATCTCAGAAATTCACATGTTTAAATGCGTGCAACACAGGAGTTACTTTCAACGTCAATTAACTCGGCTACAATTAGCCTAGAGCTTAAAGTCGTCTGCAAACAAAATACGAAGATACTCACCAAAAACGTAGATCAGCTATACGTTGGCAGATATTTCCCAGTACATATTCACTGCTTATTTCGCTCTCGGATTCCAAAATTCGCAGTGCACAGTTACTCGTTATTTTAAACTCAAATTAATTTGCATTCTGGGATGATCTACTGAAGAAAAGGAAATACAGAAAAGAATTACTAACATGAAAATAAAATTCTAGCTAAAATAAGCTCTCAGACTGAGAGAAAATATCGTTCCCCCCCCCCCCAAAAAAAAAAAACAATTAGTTTTGGAATGGAAAGGAATAATGTAGTGTTCAAGTTTAAAACAAAAGTGTTTTAAAAGAAAAATTAATTAAACATTTTTGTTATACATGGGCATGTATTGAGTATGGTGAGATGAATCTCAAATATTGGTTAATTATATTTTTATTTTCAGAGTAATGACTGCGCAAATGCTGAATTGTTCTTCGAAACCTTACATACTGGGAAGAAAACTCTTGCTCTTGATATAAACAAAGGCAACGACAAGAGGCATTACTCGTACGAGCGAAGAGTTTCTGCCGACTCCAAAAATCTAAATCTTAATATAAAATATTCGGATAGCAAGGTAATTTTTTTTTTATTTTGAAATCTTTTAATTGAAAACGTAAATGAAGCATTTTGTTTAGTCCTTTATAAATAAAAATTCTTAAACAAATTTATATTTTAAAGTATAAAATTCGAATAATTTTTCAGTTTTAATTTAATTTAATTTCCTAGTTTTCTTCTTTAAATTTCTCCGTATTAGTTAAAATAAAATAATGTTTAAATTTCCAATATATGTCTCAAGAAAGGAAGGGGGAATTTTTATTTAATTTCATTAGCGTTTAAAAAAATTGACATCTGAAATAATTTTGAAATCTATCTAAGCAATAAAAGCAAATACAAATGTCACACGAAAATAGTAATGTGATTTTGTTCCGACTTTAAATTAACAGAAATAATTCATCTTAGCATTAATACGGTTTCTTTTCTAGAGACGAATATTAATAAGAGGGAAGGAAATTCATTAGAGGAGATATTAGGTTTCAGTTACAAAAACAGTTGACTTGATGCTGAAAGAATACAAAGGCAACACACTTAAGCTTAATAAAATGCTGTTAGAGAAAGTTCGAAATGAGCTCCAAATTATACAGTTTAGTATAATTATTATAAAATTTATTATAATGTTTAAATGTAACTGAAGTTTCGACAGAATCTAAGTAATAATTAAAACAATTTTAGTAACATTTAAAAAATGTGCTGCAATTTTGACTCTGAACAAAACAGAAAAGTAGTTGTAAATCCGCACGACCTTTGGTACCTTTTATCCATCTTTCATTTTATTACAGTTATGTTATTTATCAACCTTAACAAAGCGAAACGTTTAAAAGCATAACGTATTTCTCAATAATATTTTCATACTTTTCGATGAGAGTAAATTTATTAATGTTTGCACCATTCGTATAACCGTAAAATACATTTCTAAAGCCACATATTACGTAAATCGGCTATAAAATTCTTGGTTGGATGATCATCTAACACAAAATTAAGACCCAATAAATAGTAACAAAATTCTGTAGTGTGTTCCCACTGATTATTACGTGCATTAATGGTTCTGTAACTGCATAAAGACTGTACAATTTCGTAGTAACCAAAAACAAAACAAAACAAAAAAAAAAAAACGCAAGAGAGAGAAAGAAATTAGTACGCCGTTAGGTAAATTACTGCTCAAACCTAAGCTAATAAATCTAAATAAAAAAATCTGTAATAAATATATTGAAGTATAAAAAAGGTATTCATAATAGACACATAAGCCAATGTAAAACGTAAAATAATGTCAGATAAAAGGCAAAACTTCAGATTGTAGTTTAATATTTGATAGTCTACCATTAAAATTTCCATAAAATGAACAATACAAACAAACATATATATATGTGTATGTGTGTGTGTAAAAATCAAAATATTATAAAGTAACTGTAATTTGATCTTAATGGAAAGATTTCAGTTTGACATTTAAAATGATTTTAAGTTAAGCTGTAACACAGCCCTATTAGCTTAAGAATTAGTCTTCAGAAATTAAAGTTATAAATATATAGGATCATCGTGAATTATCTTAATGTGCAGACTTGTCCGCTCGATTATCCAAGAAATGACTTAGTTATACAAGACATGGACTAGAAGAGAAACACGCTAATGTGACAATCAAAATCGTAAAAACAACCTTTTATTTAGCGTAGGTATAATGAAACACTCAAATACTCATTATACCTACGCTAAATACAAGGTTGTTTTTACGATTTTGATTATACAAGACATAATTGCGTGCCATCTATTTTACTGGATCGCTTGTGCGTGAGGCCTGCAACAAATATTTTTCAGGTGGCAGTAGATTTTATTTTATAAAGACGCTGCTTATTAAAAACAATAAATGGCTCAAATAAAGTTTCCTACTTGGAAAAATTGCAAAATTATTAAATCCTAACTTTAAACCTGCGTATGTTCGAACTAAAAAGCCCTCGATTCTCTAACGAATCGAATAAACTAACGAGTGAAACTCACCACATTATGATTTTCATGGGAAGGTAAATGGGAGAAAAACGTAGAAAATAAAAAGCTGGGTATACACGTTTTGAGACTTAGTGGTAAGATTAAACGAAGATTAAATTAAATTAAACAATGTTAAATAAAGCTTAAACGAAGATAGTAGATCAATAATTTTAATGTTGTATTTTACAAGATGACTCAATCTCTGGGCAACAATGACCAGTAAGTTGACAAAATAAATCATGAAAACAAACTTAATTAAAAACTTCACTGTACACAAGTTTTTCAGATAAAAATATTGTTAAACATTAATAAACACTAATCAGCTGAGTATGTGTCTGCGCCGCACACATTTTTTTTTTTCTCTACGGCTTTCTAATCTAAGATAAAATAATCGTTATATTCTTATTAAATAATCCATTTTTTCAACAAATTTACTGCTACCTATAAAAATAAACAATCATTTGCTCTGAAGTTATAATCCTATCTATTATTAAGAACCATAAAGTATTAATTATATTTTATTTTTATTTATTGATTATTTATTTATTTTTATTTTAATAATGTTATTTTACTTTTACTTATTTATCATTTTATTTGCTTATTTTTTATTTATTTATTATTCTATTAACTTATTATTTTACTTTTATTTATTACTTATTTTATTTACTTATAATTTTACTTTTTGTTATTTATTTTGTTTTATTTTATTTATTTTCTAGACTAAGTTATCAGAGGCTGTGGATTTCTCAGGTCAAATTATAAGTGCTCGGTACCATATCTGGAGAGGGAAAATTGATTTGCCTATTTTGGACAAAATAAGAACCCGCTTCACTTCGGCTTATAGTGCAGCGTCAAAATATCTTTCTGACATTACTAAAGATCCTGAACATCCAATCAATGAAATACTGAGACCTGCTCTGAAAGATACCGTATATAATTTCTGGGAAAGTATAAAAGCAAAGGTATGATAGCAGATTTCACAAAATGGTTATTAACTTTATTTTTACACAATTGTTGAAATCTTTGTAGCATTAGCTCATCACTAAAGGAATGAAATGCAATCATCAAATGTAAAATATACATATGTATAAATGCATAATGTTTTAGACAGTACTCATGTCTAGACATTTCATTAAAGTTTATTCTGATTTCACGAGCAGAAAGGACAACATACAAACATTAATGAGAAAAAATTCCATTTCGAGTTGTCATTAAGGTTAAACCATTGACATTATGCAAATTCAGATTTTTTAAAATTAATTTCGTGCTTTTCAAAGGTTTATTGAGTCAACTTTTTTATATATTTATAACAAAAGTATCAGCAGTGCATGTTCGTCCAGAGTCATTAGTTTTTTGTGAGCAAAAGACACTAAAACTCAAACATGCTTTAAACTTCTAATTAATTTACCTGAACAGACTGAAATAGAACGAGTATTTAATGGGAAGTGACTGCACTTCCCATTAAATACTCGTTCTATTTCATTTACATAAACGCCGAACTGAAGACTCATTCTGGGCAAGGAGTTGTAAGAAGGAAACAAGAATTTAGGAAAAGGTTTCAAAATTAAAAATAACTATTAGAAAATTAAAATAATCCCTACAATGCCTTCTCTGGAATGCTAACTCGAGGCCTTCCTAACGCTAATTATGTCTGCTGACAATTAAACCATGAAAGTACATAGAAGAAGGATTTTACTTCCTTCCATACTTAATGAGGAATACTCGTGAGGGCTTACATTTATGATGATTCATGTATAAGAATGTCTTTATAAAGAATACTTGTAAATGTAAATAATACTTTATGCATGGAGGTAAGAAAGGAAGGAGTGAGTGAGTGAGTGAGTGCACCGCTATGATGGCTTCCGACCACGGACATGAACCAAACGGAATTATATACCATCACGGCGGGGAAGACTCCAGAGTAACAAGGTTGAATATTATAAACTAATAACAGTTTTTACATATTGTTAACTGAAAGGCACTAAGCATTGTTCTGGTTATCTGCTTTAAGTTCTGAACTTTTGAAACATTATAATATTATCCACGGTTGATTCTGCTTAGGCAGTGTCCTGAGATTTTCTCTATTTTATCAAGGGCTATTCTGTTTTTGAGTGTGTTAGTCGTCCACATTGCCCAGGCACAGTCCGCTGGTTTCTTCAAGTGCCAGGTTCTTGTATGTACACAATGGAAGTAATAATGGTCCGTGTCGCCTTCCTCTCCGCATTCGCAGAAAAAGGAGTATCCCTAAGTCTGAATCTGTTCAGGTATACTGGGAATGGTCCATGACCTGTCAAGAACTGTGTTAGGCTAGCACAGTGGGTCTTTATTTCCATGTTAACTTTTGGCAGTAAGCGAAATGTCCTTCGTCCTACCTCTGCCTCTGTCCATCTACTTTGCCAATTTTGTAGCAGACTTGTCAAAGTTGTTCGCTTAATATGAGACCAAGGAAGTTTAGTTGGTCTTTCTAATATATCCGTGCAGTTGGCTGCCTGCTTGGCCAGTAGGTCAGCGGCTTCATTGCCTTGAATCCCTGTGTGAGCGGGAACCCATTTTAAAGTGGGTCTTTGCGAAATAGGCATTGTCAGAAGCTGTTTCTGAATTCTGTATACCAATGGACTCCGGCTGTTTTGACTTGCGATAGCCGCCAGACTTGATGCCGAATCACTGAGTATGGAGAATTTCTCCTGTTGACATGTGTTCGCATATCTAATTGCAGCACTGATAGCTAGAAGCTCTGCTTGGTATACCGAGTTGTTCGAGCCTAATTTCCTTTTCCACTCGAATGTTACAACTCCATTTTCTAGTCTACAGAAGGCGCTGCCCGTGCCGTTCTCAGTTTTGGAGCCATCTGTGAAAAGGTTATTACTGTACCTCTGAATTGGTTGGTCGTTTATACTGATACCGTCAGAGAGATTAAAAGCTGCTGGATGAAAGTTATTGCAGTTGTTTTGCTCCTCGTAGTCCGAGTGGTGATAACTATGACCCCAGAGTGTTGAAGTTTGACCCAGCCTGGTAACCCTTACGATAGCTGCCTCCCTTTCTACTATCAAATCTAGGGGAGGAATTCCTGCTAGTTGTTGTAGGGCTAGTGTTGACGTGGTACGGTAGGCCCTGCATACTTGAAGTAGCTGCTGTCTCTGAATAGAGAGCAGGGATCTTTTCATATGAGAGGTAAGTTCGCCACCCCAGATTGCTGCTCCATAAGTTATTACTCTTTCTGTAATGGTTCTATGCCAAATTTTTAGTAGCTTAGATGAGATACCCCATTTATGTGAAGTCATGCGTCTCATGTTGTTGCTTAGGATGCTAATTCGAGTCTTAAGATTCCTGACATGTGGCATCCAAGAAAGTCTGTTGTCGAGTAATAGCCCAAGATATTTCAATTGGGGGAAACATTTTACCGGTATCCCATGGAGTTTAATGCTTGGGTTGCGTCTTAGCTGCCTGCTGCGTCCTATGAGCAAAGCTTTAGTTTTCTCTGCCGAAATCTGAAGCTTATGTGCTCTGGCCCATTGGGAGAACAGATCAAGACAGTATTGAGATCTCATTTCGAGGTTACTCCTTCCTGCCACAACTAGCATAAAATCGTCCGCATAGGCTATGATTCGAGCGTATTCTACGCTCTCAAACTGACGAAATGCCGAGTTTGCCACTATATTCCACAGTGTTGGTCCAAGGCATGACCCCTGTGGGCATCCTCTAAAGACATTTTTGACATAAATGCCGCTGTCTGATGTTACTTGTACACTTCGATCTTGAAGGTACGAGCGAAGGATGGTAATAATGGCTGTTGGGCACGCCATGTTTGTGCAGCAAATTTATTACGTCTGGCCACCAAAGGGAGTCAAAGGCTCCCTTGATGTCAATGGCTATTGCCAGTGAGTGCAAATTGTTATCCTTGTTCTGTTTGATAGTGGCCATTAAGTCTTTTATGGCATGTTCAGTTGAGTTGCCCATTCGGAATCCATATTGGTTGGGATGCAGGGCGTTGTTCCTTTGCAGGAAGAAGTCCAATCTGTAAAGAATTACTCTTTCCAATACCTTACCGAGCGCTGGCAGTAGACAGACTGGCCTGTAAGATGTAGGTTCTGCCGGAGTTTTGCCTGATTTTAGGAATAACGCCACTTCTGCCAACTTCATATTTTTAGGAAAGTACTGATGTTTCCAGCAAGCTGAAATGACCGCAAGGAATAGTTTTGGGAATTCCCGGTGTATCTCTCTAATGATGATATTATCAATTCCATCCGGACCTGGAGCTTTTTTGGGTGCCAGAGTACGTATGATGTTATCCACTTCCATTTGCGTAGGAGGGAGTTCGTCTCTTCTGGTAACTTGGCGAAATTTCATACTGTAGGTTTTTCTCGCTTCCTCTTGCTCCTCTAAGAAATCCTCTTCATCATCATCAGGAAAAACTGCATTTATGATCTCACTGATTACTTCGATGTTGGATGAGGCAGTGCTATTCACCATAGGCGAAAGGGTCGTAGGACGAAACACCTTGTTACATGTTATCTTTTGAGTAGGTCCAAAGGCTTTAGTGACATTACTACAGTAAGTTCTCCATGAGATTAACTTGGCCTCTTTAATTTTTCTTTTATATAAAGCTCTGGCTTTATTGTATGTTATCATTTTGAGTTGCCGTAGATATGGATCTACCGTGGATTGTGCTTTTCTGCGAAGTGCTCGAACTCTGCTCCTCTCTGTGTTAAGCTCTGGTGACCACCAGGATATCGAGTGTTTTTGCCTTTACAGATTTCAAACGATATGCTTTGTGGGCGGCTTGCACTATTTTTGTAACTAGTAAGTCGTAGAGATTATCTAAGGAGTTTCTGTCCTGGCAGTTGTTGAAATCTTTGATAAATTTCTCTACATGCGCTCGAATGTGTTCCCGTAAAACGGAATGTCCTCCAAATGCCGTTTTGAATCTTTTCTTTATTATGTAGTCTATAGGAGTATCCAGCCTGTAAGTAATAATTTTGTGATCACTGAGTGACGGCAGGTCACTCACTGTCCAATCTTGTATGTACGGAGTTGTATTGGGAGTTGATATTGTTAGATCTGGCCACCCTCGAGCTCTAGATGTTTCAAAGGTAGGCGGTGAGTCCTGAGCGTTGATGACAATGAAATGCTTACTGTCCAAGAATTCGAGTACCGCAATTCCCCTTCGGTTCTCCGAGTCAGCACCCCATAGTTGACTGGTGGCGTTAAAGTCTCCTGCTATGATACAGTGTGATGCCCCAGTTAGAAGGTTAGAATTAAGTTCCTCTAATAGAGAGGTAATATCTTCGCTCGGGGGTAGATACACAGCAATAATATCAATGCTGCAATTACTAGTGTCTAGTCTGATGGAGACTGTATGCTCTGTGATTTTCATTAGGAGAGGGGAGAGAGGGCCACTGTAAATAATCGCAGCTAGCTGATTCTTTGAGAGAAACGTTCTGCTGTGTGTTGGAACACTAGGAATCACTCCGTTGTAAACGTATGGCTCTTGGAAGATTCCGACATTGGCAGCAGTATGTGTCATTACTTGCAGCGTATTTATGGTTGCTGCATAGCACTTCTGCAAGTTACACTGTAAAAATCGAAGACCTGCTATATGTTTGTTTAGTGTCATCTTGGTTTAGTTCTTTGCAGTGGTCCTTCTCAGACTCTCGAAATGGGCTCCATACACTGGGCAGGAACTTGAAGTAGCTGGGTGATCTGTGCTGAAAGAGGTCCCCTTTTCAGAATTACTACTGCAGCAATTAGTGCAACTCACTTTTTCCGAGCTACACACTCCTGCGTCGGGTGGCTGTTACCACACTTCGCGCAAACTGGAGCGTTTTTACAGTTCCTGCTATAGTGACCGAACTCCTGGCAGTTGTAACAGCGTATGATCCTAATGTACGGACGGAGAGGACAAGACTCAAAACCCACTAAAAGACGGCCTAGCTTAACTAGGTGTTCTGCTGACTTAGGGTCT